TTAGCTTCTTCTTCTTATTATTATTATTATTATTATTATTATTATTATTAAATTAGCAATATGGCTTCCACCAATAACAATATTGTTACTTTATTATGGGATGCTAGATCATGATCATGCTAATAGTTTTATTTTAAAAAATGTTTACTTTTTTTTTTGGAAGACGAAATGTTAAATTTTAATATGTAAACAAACTAATTTAAATTTTATGAAGATGTTCTTTTTAGTCTTTTTACATTTATCAGCTTATCAAAAAGCTAATTTTACCAAACACTTTCAATCATAACAGCTAGCTTAACAGCTCTTCAATTTTCAGCTTCGAGCTTATAGCTTTTCAGCTTTCAGCTCCTTTTCAGCTATCAGCTCCTAGCTTATAGCTTTTCAGCTAGGTTTGCCAAACAGAGTTGGAGCAAGAGATTTTATTTGTTGTGGAAAAGTGCTTAAGAATTAGTAGAAATATTGACTTATATACAAAGATTTGATTATACATAAATCTTTTACTCATCATCTTCTAAATTAAATACATATGTATTTAACTTGCGCTTTATATTAAGAAAAATATTTAAAATAATGTGTCAAGTTCTCACATATAGTATTGCAAAAGACGTATTAGCGAATGCCGACAATTTACTTTTGTAAACATGTATCAAACAAGAAAATATCAAAAGATCCTGATCGGAGGGTTTTGTTTGTTTCAACTTTTAGATTGATTATTGAAGGAAGGTAATATGTGTTTTTGGAGTAGATAATATAGATATGCAAATATCTTCCATTAAAGGTAATTATGGTTTGGTCCATTACCTTTAACAATTGTCGTCACGTAAGGTTTTGATTGAACTACTTTACCTTTGTGTTACTAATCAAATTTCTAATGATTATGATCGATAACTAACCTATGTGCAATTAGTCATTATTGTATATTTGTCATATACGGAGTAAATGATAGAGCAAATGCCACTTTTAATCTGTGAGTTTTGCTCTACATAGTGTAGACTGCAGAGTACTGTAGACTTGGTTTTTTTTTAATGAAGTGTAAATATTTTTGTCCATCAATTTTTAATTTTTTTGAAATAACATTTATAATCCCTCACAGTTGATCAATTCTATTAACTCATGACAAAAAATTTCGAGCAAGGTTAATTTCATCATTTAATTACTATTCATTCTCCTACATACTCGACCTACGCCATTTTATGTTGAACCATCATATAATTCTGATTTATTTATTATTAAATAACCTTATTGTTGAATTATTCTTGTGATGGTTAGTCAAGATCCATTTTATAGGGATCATACTTTCTAAGTTGTTCTAGTCTTCAGACACCTATATAAAGGGTCTAGGACAAGCTTTGTATGGTAGTAAGAACAAGTACAAGAGTGAACAAGAACAAGACGTTGAGTAATCATCATCTGCAATATATAAATTCATTATGTTATTTTCTTTCTGTCTCGCGTCTATTGTCAGTGTTTTTACAACATTAGTTTCAACACACCTGTGTTCTGTAACTTTATTCCTCAATTATTCTACATTTTCAACTAACTCAAAGAGTAAGTGTTCAAATTTGCATTGTGGTAATATGGTAAAAGTACCATTATTGTCCAAGATGACCATTGAGGAATGTATATAGAGAAGAAGATGAATTGATATTTAAATGATCAAATTAACCATTGACATGTTATGCACGCATATAAATATGTATATCCACAAATGCAACAATATATATTTACGGATAGTTATGCTGTATGGTGCATACGGATGCCAAAACGACGTCGTTTTATTAAAAAACGTGCGTCTCCCCTTTAAAAAAAATTCAGGTTCGATTCCCAGCAACAACATTATATTGTTCATTCATTCTGGAATTTTCGTTCATAGATTATGGAATTATAGTTCATTGATTATGGAATTATAGTTCATCGATTATGGAATTGTAGTTCATCGATTCTGAAATTTTAGTTTATAGATTATGGAATTTTAATTCATTCATTCTGAAATTTTTAGTTCATAGATTAGATTATGGAATTATAGTTCATCGATTATGGAATTTTAGTTCATATGTTGCTGGGAATCGAACCTGATTTTTTTTTTTAAGGGGAGACGCGCGGTTTATTAAAACGACGTCGTTTTTGCATTCGTATGCACCATGCGCAGATGCACAACATAATTTGCCATATATTTACCCTACTTAAAGATTGGATATCTATTATATTTTCTTGCATTAGCCACAGAGTACATCTTGTTGTATTCCTCAGACAATCTTAAAAACGTGTTGATGGATTAATAATAATTGTATATTAAAAGTTGAATTAAATAATTAACTTTTCCGGTTATCATTCTAAATGGGTGTTCATAGGCAGTGTCAGATCCACTGTGGGACAGTAAGGATAGCCGTCCCCATCCCTCCACTTATCCCTAAATATAGTAGACGTGTGTGCATATGTATATTACATGTTTAGATATATAAATAAAATATATAAATATAAATAAATAAAATGTGAGCTAAGATGGTAATTAAGTTATGTCTTTAACCTAAGAATGGTCAAGAGGTCAAACCCCATTGTTTTCTCTAAATTTTTAGTCTTCTTTTATATTAATAGTGAACTGTATAATTTATATTGTGTTTTTTTATTCGAACCATTTTATCAAATTAATTATGTTTCATATTTTGTTATGAATATTTTTTTCCATAAAATTTTGATGTGTTTTGATTTTTCGCTCAGCTCATATCAAACGATATTTATTACTATGCTTCTAAGTGTTTCATTTTTATTTTTCAAACTCTCTCCTTTTTTTTTTGTTTAATCTTTTGTCCTCATTGACAAAATTTTTTGAATCCGCCCCTGGTCATAGGATCAAACTGGAGGAATAACTATTCAAGATCCTTTTTTTCTAGGTCAAACAAAGAGGAATTAAATATATAATAAAGGCATTTATGCTTGATAACGCAACAACTAAATCATGCATACTTACATCGTTCAACATCATAACATATATATATCTCAACTTAAAACATTACATCGTCGTTCAACATCATACTTATAAACTATTAGAGTTGAGAATATATTAAAACATTATATGTAATTCAAGGTAAATAAACACCACTCCATTGATTATACACAAGTTCACTCACACATATTATTGTAAACAAGATAGTAGCCCATATATATATATATATATATATATATATATATATATATATAATATGATGGCATTATTTAGCAATATTCAGCAAATAATTAGTAAATTATTAATTAGAAATGGTGGTGGTGCTTTCCGTCGTGCTCTTTTTCTTCCTTCTTGGCTTCTTTCTTCTCATGATGCTCATGGAATGCAAATCCACCTGCTCCCACTGCCACGGCTGCTGCAACCTCTTCCTCTATCTTGTGCCTCTGTCCATGCTCTGTGTCTTTCTTTGCTTCATGCTTCTCATGCTGCACTTTCACAATTATACATACATATATAATTAACATCACATCATATCGTATATACAATTAAATCAAATATTGATTAATTAAGGTCCCATAAGATTTTTAATTCAGTTGATTAGATCAAAACACTGAGTTACCAAACACTCATATTCACATTTTATTAAATCAAAACTTCAAAAATGACTAATGATCTGCCAAAATTTTGATTGTTCAGCAATTTACCAAATATGACTCTTAAAATTAAAACACCATATATTTCCTCTTGATCTTCATAATTGAAGCATGTGCTCCATTTCAACTAAAACCTAAGTTGATAGTTGGATTGCATATTAATTGTTATATGCTCAACATTCAGGACATTAGGTACCTAGCTAGTGATCTCCTTGACATTAACTTTATGTTTGTTAAACGATCCGCGAACAAGGTAACCGACGTGTTAGCATGGGAAGCTCTGTTCTTAGCCGATCGTAGGGAGTGGAGGATTATGCCTCCTTCATCCCTTCCTTCTGTACTTGCTGCGGATTTTAATTAATGGAAGTTGTGTTTGTTCAAAAAAAAAAATTAAAATTAAAACACCATATGTTTCATTTTTAGTGAAGCATTAGATCTACGGATAGTTATTTATAATTAATTTTGTACATTAATAAAGTAGAAATGAATGACTGACCAAAGCATAGGCTCCGGCAGCAGCAACGCCGAGCTCGCCAATGTGCTCGAGGTGTTTGTGGTGTTTCTCTTCTTTCTTGTAGTCCACCGGGCCGTCTTCCTCCTCCTTGTGGTGGAAGAGGTGGTGGTGGTGTTTCTCCTCAGCCATCTGGAACTAATTAAATGCTACCGGAGTATATATGAAGAAGGTGATTGTGATGATGGTGCATTTTAGATGGTTTTCTAGCCTACTATTTATAGGTGATCTGATGAATAATGGTGACAACTTCCCAAACTATTAGGCGTGAAAAGGACTACCATTTGTTTAGAGGCAACATAATTACATCACTATTATCATTTAATATCACTCATCCAACATTCAACTGTTCATTACATTATATAACAAAATATACATACTCTTTTTAAAAGATAATACACATAATCTAACATAATACATAATAAACATAAACTTTTAACATAATACACATCAACTCTTAATATAATACACACATTTTCTTATTCGGATGTATATAATTATATAAAAAGAGTGTATATAATTGTATAAAAAATGTACATAATTGTATGAACAAATATACATAATTATGTGAACAAATATACATAATCACAGCAACTTTCTATTACGCCTCCCAAAACGACGTCGTTTTGGGAGGCGCACAGTGCTACGCGCGCCGTGGTGTTGGGTATAACGATTGCATCAAGATGCACTGGATTCTCAAGCAGACCTTCCTTCAATTTTGCAGATCTTATATGCTCCTGAAATATCATTTCTTTAAGAGAATCCAATAAGCATATCAGGCCCAAAAGTATTCATTCAGGCCCAAAACTATACAGCCCCAAAACGATGTCGTTTTGGGACTGTATTATATATATAATTTTTATTTTTATTTTTATTATTTTACCTAATAGAAAGAGATCGCAAGTTCATCACCGTTCAGATTTCAGAGCTCGCGTTTCTCCGTCCCTCACACCGGTCAGCACTCAGCAACGACAGTCGAAAGAACTGGCCGGCAGGCGAGCGGCGGCTAGCCGGCAACACTGCCTCTGCCCTTAGGCTCTCACCGCCTCTCGTCTGAATCATCACTCATCTCCTCTCAGCAGTACTCAGGTTTCTCCGTCCCTCAGGTTTTGAGTTTTGCCCAAAATTATACAACCCCAAAAGGACATCGTTTTCAAACAGTAAATGTACAATAACTGTCAATTACTCACAATGTTTAATTGTCTTTCTAATCAATCATTTGTGATTTTTTCAAACAGTAAGTGTACAATAACTGTCAATTACTCACAATGTTTAATTGTCTTTCTAATCAATCATCTGTGATTTTTTAAAGCTTCATAGCAAACTCCTTAGATTTCTTGATACTGTGTGGATGAAAATTCATCACATAAACCTTACCTTCCATAGGATTTTGCTTTATTATATATAAAGATTTTGTACTAAATCTGATTTGTTATGGATTCAGCCTTCAAGTTTTTGCCCTAATGTGATTTATTTTGTGATTTGCCCTAATGTAATTTATTTTCTGACCTGTAGACAATGGATTCAGCACAAAAGGAAGCGCGCAGGTTTAAGGACCTTGTGAATAAGAACGTCGAAGACTTGCAGCCTGAGTTCGACCGCATATTAGCTCGGAAGAAAGAGTTGTTTGATGAAGTAAAGACTAAAGGCATTAGATTGTCTGTGGCTGTCAACCTCTTCAAACAAGCCCAAGCATTGGTTCAGGAAATCTATGAAGTGCTCAACAAAGTATATATTTGAATTTTTAATTATAATCAATTTTGATTTTGTTATAAGAGTTTTAAAATTTTAATATAATGTTCTGATTTTTTTTTTTTTTACAGATTTTGGAGGATGATAATTTTCTCATAGATGTGGGTATGACATCTAGAATTCATTATTATAGGGCTAAGAACGTATTTCATGTTTTTTTTTTTTTTTTTTTTTTTCAGGAGTCTGACTCGGTTGTATCCAAAATCGTTTCCCATGGGTCTGGCGGCTTGGCGGGTTTATCCGAACTTGTTTCCGAAGGGTCTGACTCAGCGAATTTACCCAAAATCTTTTCCTCATCTTTGGCACTAACCCCCAGGACCCAATGCACAAAGGACCTTATGGATTTGGGGGTGCAATATAAAAGAAAGCTTGTTGATGTCGATGAGGTTTTGGGACAAATGTACAACATGGGTGAGAATTTTGTAACTCATTGTTCAGAACTGGCTGAGGTGACAAAAAAGATTGAGGAAGCAACTAAATTCCTTACTGAAGCTCAGGCAGCCATAAACGGCTATAAGGGCATCCCCAATAACCCCAATAAGGGGATTTTACCTAGGTTTTGGAATAGTAAAAGCTTGAAATTGAGTTTTAAACAAATGTGGTGGTGGGGATTTTAAGAGTTTTTTTCTCTCGCAAAAATGGGATTTTTGTGGGCCCCTTCAAATATTAAAGAAAGAGAACAAATGAGAAAGCAGGCGCGTATGAGGCAATTTTTGCGCCCAGTGAGGTGGTGACCACGCTCCTTCTGGGCGCGTTTGGCGCAGCCTTTTATATATTTTTCTAATTTTCTTTTTCAGATTTCTTTTTTTTTTTTCTTTTTCTTCTGTTTTTTCCTTCATCATCTCTCTCCTAGTAGGCACTTAAAAAATGGCAAAAATTTCATTGCTACTGAGTAAAATTGTAACAGTGAAGGGTCATCAATGACTATAAGACGCTATTGTTTTTCATAAGTTTTTCATAACATTCATCAGTACTCTAGATTTAGTATTCTTGATTTGCTAAATAGATGAAATTGTTCTGTATGAGACCATATCCAGTCAGTGAACAGATGTGATTTGACAAGAAAAAAGAAACCCTTTTGACAATGGAAAAAAGTTGATTTGAAGGATGTTTAGAGTACTGATGGCTAAAAGTTTGGTGAATAACTCCAAAGTTTGCAGCTTTACATGTAATCATTCATATGATCACTCTGTGAATTCAGACTTCTTGTATAGTGGATTACAGTAGTGAAGCTCTATATTTTCACAGCAGTAATAATAATTATAAAAAATAACAGTAAGCCTCTTCATTTTCCACTATTTTGCTTTAGGCTTTTGGATTGTATAAGTATGTTTACCTAAAGGCTATTTTGGTGTGTGCAATTGTCTGTCTGAAAATGAAATAGTGCCAATGAAAATGATGAAAAGAAGCATTTCTTCATTTACCTTAACGGTAAAGGACTTCCCAGCCTACTTAACTGTTTATCAAGTCGATTCTGAGCACGCCATGGTTCGGGCTCATCATGTTTGCAGGAAAAAGCGGCATTCATTTTTTGTGTCGAGGACAGAGCTCTCTTCTGCAAGGAATGCGATGAGCCAATTCATTCTGCCAACAGCCTCGCTGCAAACCACCAGCGATTTCTAGCCACTGGGATTCGAGTAGCACTGAGTTCCAGTTGTAAGAAGGACGCTCCGAACGCACAATTGGAGCCACAGCCACCAAAACCAAACTCACAGCAGATTACTGTTAAAACGCCTTCTCAACAATTGTCTGGCATCACGTCGCCTTCTTGGGCCGTTGATGACTTACTTGGATTTTCTGACTATGAATCCTCAGAGAAGGTAATGGTTAAACCACTTTGTTGAATCTATCTGATCTGCTACTAAACTGTATGTTTTGTGAGTTCGCGCCAAGTGTTTGATGATATGCCTAAGAGAAACGTGATTACCTGGAATGCAATGATCGGTGGGTATATGAAGAATGGGGATACAAATTCTGCATTGCTAGTGTTTGAAAGTATGCCAGAGAGAACTTAGGTAACATGGAATGAAATGATCGATGGCTATGGGAGGAACGGGGACTTAGTGATGGCGAAGCAGTTATTTGATAAGGTTCCAGATGGGTTGAGAAATGTGGTGACTTGGACTGTGATGGTTGATGGTTATGCTAGCTGTGGGGAGATGGATGCTGCAAGGGAAGTGTTTGAGGGGATGCCGAGAAGGAACTTTTATGTCTGGTCATCCATGGTATCAGGGTATTTCAAGAAGGGTGATACTAAGAATGCTAAAGCTATTTTTGAGAGGATGACTTCAAAGAATTTGGTGAATTGGAATTCACTGATTTCTGGGTACACACAAAATGGGTTGTGTGAGGAAGCTTTAGATGCCTTTAGAAAAATGCAAGATGAAGGGTTTGAGCCAGATGAGGTTACAATGGCGAGCGCCTTATCAGCTTGTGCTAAGCTGTCATTATTGGATGTTGGCAAGGAAATACACGAGATGATTGTTCAGAAGGGGGTTAAAGCAAACCAGTTTGTTCTGAATGGATTGGTTGACATGTATGCCAAGTGCGGTGATTTGAGCAATGCCAGATTGATCTTTGAAGGAATGCCACATAAAAACGATGCAACTTGGAATTCTATGATCTCTGGTTTTGCCATTCATGGTCAACCTGAGGAGGCCATTGAACTTTTTAGAAGAATGGAGAACTCTGGTGTGACTCCTAACGAGATAACATTCCTTTCAGTCCTATCAGTTTGTGCACACTGTGGGTGTGTAGAAGAAGGCATGGAAATTTTCTATAAGATGGAGAAGTTTGGGTTAATGGCAAACATCAAGCATTATGGTTGTCTAGTTGATCTTTTAGGAAGGGCAGGAAAGTTACAGGAGGCTCTTGATTTGATCAAGGGGATGCCTATAACCCCAAATGCCACTGTTTTTGGGTCTCTGCTTGGAGCATGTCGAATTCACGGCAACATGGATATGGCAGAATGTGTGCTTGAAGAGGTTGAGAAATTGAACTCCAATAGTAACTCTTGTGATGATTTACATTATGTGCTGCTGTCTAATATTTATGCTGCCTCTGAACGATGGGAGAAAGCTCAACAGACAAGGTCAAATAAAGGGTCTCAAAAGATGCCTGGGTGCAGTTTAGTCATGCTTGAAGGTCCTTACTAGAGTATATTTCTCCCCAATTGCATTACTGCATTTTTTTCTGGATGTCCAATGAAGTCTATGGTGGCTTGTGAACAATATGGATCACAGTACAAACAAAATTGAGTCTATCACTGAAGTAATTCCCGGATCCTTTGTCTCTATTTGAGGTAACTAATCACTCCCTTTTTAACAAACATCCTCCCCCACTATATGTAACGGATGGCAATATGGCGCAGACAAAAGCTTTGTCCGGCATTCATCCGTTAAAGCACCCACAGAGATACCATACACAGTTTCCATATGACATCATTCTCCCTGCACTTGCACTCCCCTATATATCTTGCCTTAGCTCATGAAGATAGATAGAAAGAGAGAGAGTATGGGTATGATGAGAAAATGGTTCAGAAGGTTGAAGAAGATGTTGAAAGCAAAGGGCAAGAGGTCAGCAGAAGCAGAAGAAACTGCTTCTTCAGCTTCACCTCCTGCTGCAGCAGCTCAGGATAATCAGCTATTTCTCTCACCCAAAGCCAGCAGAAGCACTCAAGCTACAACTGAACTTTGTGATGATCATCCAGCTACAACCTTGTCAAATTGATGCCCAACATTTCTCTTAAAAAATAATAATATCTGTATTTTGAGTAGTTTCTTCTTGTTCTTTCTATTATGATCTAGTGTATGTTTTCCCTTTCAGTTATCTTCTCCGGTGGTCTAAATCATGATGCCAGTGTTTCCATGTCATTCTACACTGAATTTGGACATATACAAATAAAATTAAGTGATGACTGTTTTCCTTTCAAAAAAAAAGTGATGACTGTTTCTATTACAAATGGAAATTATACAAGGAAAAAAATTTACAGTATTTACTATAACAGAAAAAATAGAAGCACAAACATTGCAGTAAAGAGTAGGTTACAATAGCATAATCTCAAGGTAGAGGCATGGGTGGTTTCCATTTTTTGAATTCCACCAAATCTCTGTTCACTATTGTTCTATTATGAAGCCAGAATGTTTCTGTGGATTGATGGAAGTGCCTCACTTTCCTCTGGAGTTCCCAAATGATTCCATTAAATGCAGAACAAGTATCGGGTGCGGGAGAATAAGCCCATAAACACCTCACTTTTCTACCCCTGGCTATCATCTCCTCAATTTCCCTATCTGTGAAACAACAAATAACAAGATACTTATAACCATATCGACATTGACCAGGAATGTCAATGTGGAATGTAATAACAAAGTGCAGTAGGCTGACCAGGTATTGACTCTAGGTACTCCAAAAGTTCAGTGCCTATCCGAGAGGATGGCCATTTGATTGATATCTGGGTGTAGTCGATGACATTTTGAAATGGCATTTCTACTTGATCTGATAAGAGGACTGGAACACACTCCTGTTTGGCATAACAAGCAGCTTAAATGATAAGTGTGAAATTCATATATGCTGAAAGATGTATCCATGATTAGGCGTGAGAATATGATACCACGAAAAAGGACTCATAAAACCGAAGAGTCCACGATGATTCACCGCGTGGAGCAAGGCAGAACTTGGCATTGCGGAGATGTTGAAAATATTGCACTCGTCCAAGTTTATCAGGACCACTGAATTTCAACTCTGGAGATTCCAACTGCAGAAAAAAAATTAAAAATTCTATCTTTGGCGAAATATTATCATTAATGGTCTCAATTTTGACTTGAGAAATTATTTTGATATTGCATGCACATAACCATAAAATAAAAAATTAGAACAGAAGCATAAGATCATTCAGTGTTTCACACTTCTAATTGATAGCTCAATTATTCATCACAAGGATAAGTTTTGCTTCTCCAAACTAGCACTTTCAGATACAAAAAACTTCATTTTAGGTGTTTGTTGACTTGTAATAACAATATCAAAAGCAACACTCCATTGTCATTTATAAATCTCTATACAAGAACATTAATCACTGTCTAGAAAATGTTTAGTACATCAGTCAAGTAAGTATGTTACATCTGTTAGCAAGAATGTTGGCTGTATGTAGATTCTAATATAGCTGGAAAAGAAGACACACCTTTTCTGGGAATTGTTTTGCAAGTTTAATCAATTGAAGACGACCAACCTTTCCTTGCGCTCGACCTAGAAAGTTAGCCAAGTACTTCCTTTTTGACAAAGGCAAAGGCTCAACAACCCTAGAGCCATGAGTAGTCATCCCATCATCAACATTTCCAGGGATGATAATATCTTTCCATGTATTGAAAGCACTAGTGTCTCGTTTATCTGTTCGATCACCCTGTACCATAAACAAAAGCTTATTTCTCACCATGGAACAATGAGCACTGTAAAATTCCATGAAAGTTTACATACACATCATGCAAGCGAGCCTTTCTATATAAACCTTTTAAAAACTGTTTAATGAATCTATATCTATATATATATCTATATCTATATCTATATTCTATATATATGTTAAAGCAAAATGAAGTAGTCACAAATTTTTCCCGCCTAAATGTGTGAAAGCATTTTGGTACATAGAGATTTGTAATTTGTAATATAATTAATGCAAAATAAAGGTCAGTAAAAACCTCCCGCCCATAGTAACGGCGTCGTTTGGCAGGGTTCAAACATTAATTACTTTTTGTGTTAAAAACGTGTTAACTTAACAGTTACCAATAAAAAATTTAAATGGTTCATATGGCCGAAATAATTAGTGGTCAGCTATTAAATATGATGATGTTTAATTGGCTGCTTGACCTTTCCAATATTAACGATTGGTTTAACGAGGTCATCGTAAATCTACATATCAACGATTAGTATACAAGCACTTCCGAAATCTACTTATAAATACATCTCTTTGTATTGGCGAAAAAGACTTCAACTATACTACATCATATTGCTTCCGAAAAACACAGAAAAACTGCAAAATAAACACTACAGTTTTAATGCATCTCTATACATTCTTGGCGGTGACATCTCTCCAATGAATACAAGAAGAGCAATATGGGTCCGCATTCTGGGTACATATGAAATCCTGGAACGAAGAGGGAGTAAGAGGGAGTGAAGCCAATGTAAAGAAGTAGAAGATCAAGAGGTATGTTTATATATATATATATATATATATATATATATATATATATATATATATATATATATATATATCGTAATATTTTGTCCATGTTTTTATGAATACAGAAACTATGAAGAGTTGAAATAAACATAGGAGAAAAATCATGGAAAAGGTAGACATAATCTCACCTGACATGACTAAACACCTACATGTAGAGATAGTGGAGTATGCTTCTACCTTCTCAAATGCGTTTGTTTAGTTTTCATAGAATTATGATTCACAGTTTTGTTAGTTTTTAATATTCTTTAATAATCTGATTCTGTTACTAATTATTTATATGATATTTATTTATCCAGCTGCAGAATTTCTTGACCATACATCTAGACTGGAGACCAGTGGATTTGGGGATCGGAGCAATTTGATGAGGTATTGTAGGTGTATAGTCTGATTTGTTGTTAACGTAGTATAATAAATAAATTAGCACTAAATATTACAGTAAACATTTGTATATCCTCTTTTTTTTTTTTTTTAAAGATGAAGCAGGAAGTCAAATTGCTATCCATACTTCTAGGTCGGAACTCAGTAGATGCGGAGTTGTAAGAAGAAGTGATTTCCAACTTACTTATTTTGGCAGATTTGGAATATCTAATGAGGTGAGTTGCATTGGAAAGGGATTCAAGCTGGACAGAGAAGAACAGCTTGAAAATAGTTTCACCGCAAAAAATCATATCAGATGCCTGAGAAAATACATACATGTGATACATAAAGATTTTCTATTTGATTACTTCCCTTAGTTGCCTTAATGTCTAAAATGTTGTTTTATAGTAAGGCATTAGATGAGAGGGACCTAAACCATAGTAAATTCTTTTAGTATTTTCAACACATAGTTGCAGAAAACATGTATATTTTTGAATTTTATTTAAAAGGCAAACATTATATTTTACTAACTGCTTTGAATATGAAATATTTGTTAGATACTAATTGCTGCTATGAATTGTGCAAGATAATTAGTTTTAAAAACTGTAGTAAATTTTGTATACTGTATTCGTTAACACTAAAATAGTCACAGAATTTCATGCGAGTTATTCATCAAAACTAAACTTAGATTTCCTTTCCAAATTTATTAGTACGGTGTCTCTGATCAATGAAAAATACAGCTAATAAACAATTGATGCACGCACAAGAAAAAGATTTAGATCATGATCAAAAGTCAATCAATACTTACTTGACAGTATGGCAGGTGTCACCTAAGCTTTTCAAGTCCTGTGTATGCTCCCAATACAGTATTTTTATCCATTAGATCCTGTGTATACAGTAAGTAAACTAAAAGTGAGTGCAGTTTAAGTCCAATTAGCATTTAGCAGATTAGATTGTAAATAAGGTATGAAGTTGTCTATTATAGTTAAATGGTATTTCATGAAATTTTCATCATCCACTCATAGACCTTAAATAAATAAATTACTTCCACCACAAATTTCTAAAAGACTTTTACTGTTAAATAAATAAATTACTTACACAACAAATTTCTAAAACTATTTGAATTTCAATAAGAATTTAAATATTAAATGCTAACTTCAATTCAACCACAAGCTATAAATTGAGGCTGTTGAGAGAAATCTGTCAACACAATAAAAATAGCCTATTTGGATCAATCTGTCAATAAGATATTAAGTAATTGACAACATCTACAATTATAAGAAATAAATTGAAGTGTCAGTAATATTTCTACAAAAATTGGAGAGCAAATGATATCCAACTTTTACACTATATTTGAATAACATGAAAGAACATATCTGACAGCAATAATATACAAAAGTCATCCAAAGGCTATATATCGAAATGACCAATTTCACTAATGTATGTCTTTGTGGGGGAACTTATCTATATATACAGCCGAAAAGGATCTTATGGAAGTTTTTGGTCATTTTGGAATAGTAGTGAGCGCTGTAGTTGTGAATGATGGTGCCAGAAAATTAGAGGGGTTTGTGCGGAGAGCTCCCTGAGAAATGTGATAACAATAAAGTTGGGGTTGCAATTTCTGAGAAGAAATTTGTAGGAAAAGGTCAGAAGGAAATTGTGGATGAATCTGTTCCTTCTTCCACCTCTAAGTCGGAGATGCAGTTCAAAAATCATTTTAGAAATTCGGAGATGTATGTATCAATATATAGGAGTAAAAACAAAAAATAAAAATGAAAGCCAACTGCGATCACACAAATTTCTCGGTGAACAACTATGAACTACTATCAAAGTTAAAAATCATGGAATGGAGAAAGCTAATACTAATTTAAAATCTCAGATCTGATGATATATCAAACATGCATCTATCTATTTTGAAGATATGAGGAAAATGTAGTTTAAATCACACATGCGATTAGAAAAAATCCAAGATTTATAGACAATCAGACATTCTTAACCGTTTAGATATTAAATGAGTTGTTTAGACAGGCAGGCAACATAATACTATGTGTCAAATGAGTTGTTCAGAAGATTCAACAAATCCAGATCACCTCCTTCGCCACTTCAATAGTTTGGTCCCCAGAAAAACCGAAGATCGCCGTCGGAGGAGCTCCATCGCTTCTTCGTGCATGCAGTGGGATGGGAAAAGAAATCGTCACGGCCTCAAAGCAGATTAAAGAAAAAAATTAGAAAAGAAAAATCAGATTGCCGGCATATATGCACCACCGCTCGCCATCATCGCCGTAGATTTCAGCTCCGCCACCAGCATCGGATCGGAAACCATAGATAAGTCCCCTTCCTCGATCAGTCGATCTTCTTCTTCTCCATTTACTTGAACAAATTTGGTGCAGAGCAAAAAGGGCGAGAAAGGTGGGTGGTGACTGGTGAGTGAGAATGCCGAGAAGGTGGAGTGAAAAAAATAAGAAAGTGGAAGCTTTTTTTCCTCCACCTTTTCTGCAAATCACAGCATGCATTAAAAATATATATTATGCGTATTATCTTATATTATTATATTATTATTATTTCAATATTTCATTATTTTTAATATTAGTATTTGTGTCGTATTTATATTTTAATGAAGATTTGATAATACTTAAAAATAATAATAATAATTGTAGATAGGTAACTATATATTATATACTATCTAAAGGTATATAGAAATTGTTTGTATATTATATCGGGTGCTATGTTAGATATGCTTAAATGATATAGCATTTATTATATGATTTTGTAATCAAATTTGGAATATAGTTAGTGTTCACGTTTTTTGTTACTTTAGAGAGTAATGTTTATTTTTTATTTTTTATTTTTTTTGTGTGCAGAAAATCAAGTCATAAAATGTAGTGAGTTTATTCTATTTTATATTTTAGTTTTTATATTTTTAAAAATTTAAATTAATATCTAAATTTAATAATTTTGTTTATAAAGCTCAGGAAAAACTACCAAAAGAGATACAAAGATTGTGATCGTTCTTTCCGGAAGGGCGTCGGTGAATTTTGCAATTGTATCTTCGTCAAATTCTAGATTGTTTTCTTCATCTTCATCCAACATTACTAGGTGTAATTTTAAATTGCAATATGAGTCTACTTTGTATTGCAAATGTGGGCTAAAATCTCTGTTATGCATGGGTGGTGATAGTTGATGGAAATTCTTTAGTTTTCAACAATGGAATGTTAGATTACAATTATTGATATACAAATCTTTTGGTTATGTGATTAATTTATATGAGTATTTTGATATCACAGGGAAATGGTTGTGAATTTTTGGTATTTTTTGATATCACATCAACCACCGAATTGATTATGATGCATGCAACACAAAATGCATTAAGAGATTTGAGTTGTATTGCTCAATTCCCCAGTAATGTTGTTAAGAAATATTGAACACTCAGTTGAGTTGTGTAATGGTACACGGTTGGTAATCACCAAGTTAACAGACCGTGTAATTGAAACTGAATTAATAGATGGTACATACTAACAAAGGTGCAAAAGTGTTGATACCCAAAATGTCAATGTCACCCTCAGACACAAGATTACCATTCAAGTTTCAACGGCGACAATTCCCACTCATGTTATCATATGCAATGACTATTAACAAAAGTCAAGGTCAAACACTGTCACATGTAGGTTTGTTACTAAAAAACCGGTTTTTGTGCATGGTCAATTGTACGTTGCTGCAACTCGAGTTAACAACCCAAGTGGTCTTAAAATATTAAATGCTAACGACTCAAGGCCAAATGCTACATCAACAACCAACGTAGTATACCATGAAATCTTCAATAATTTGTAATTGTTTAATAAACGGTATTTTTTTTTTATTCTGTGTAAACGTATTTTCATTATTGTTTCTATTTGTTAATTTCAAAATTTGTATTCACTAATGTAATTAATTGTTCACACAATTAAACACTAATTTGAACAATATCCATCCCGTGCATCGCACGGGGACTATACTAGTAATCAATAATGTCAAAACATCTTGATGCTTACAGATATGAAAAATTAAAAGGTTCAGGTAAGATCCAAATAGATCTGGTGAATTTTTACATAACCAGAAAAGGAAATGGTCCGTATGTGTATCTATGAGTATGCAGGCATAGCACTCTATGATAAAGATGTAACATTTTGAGAGATTCTACTCATGCTGAACTGCTGATGCGACTAAAATGTTTAGACTTGATTAAGAAGTGGACAAAAGAAAAGGAGAGAAGAAAAAACAGATGAAGCATTATTGAATGCCAAGGAGTGGTAGTGGCCATCCCTCATCACAGGATGTCTTGTATCATATATTCTATAGGATTGCTCCTCTATTTTGTTTTCCCTTGGGAAATAAGACCCACCTAAAAAGTTTTGCAAACAGTATATGCAGACATTTGCTTTGGATTACTTTAGCTTTCTCATTCTTAGATTTTCTAGTCACATGAATTGAAATGGCACTAATATTTCTAGCAGCCTATTCCGACTTGATGGAAGAACCTAGAGTTTACCATCTTTCTACTACAATAGCGGACAGCATAACTCCACCCTTAGTGATATAGGTCTGTGCTATGAACTATGAAGCAACAGATACCCACAATTCTTGAGAGGAATTCCATTAAGTAATTAACTGTAACTAAAATGCCTAAGGTTCATAAGGAATTCACATGCTATCTACCAGCCATTCAGCTCAAGGGTAATCAAATTAAGCCAAAAACAAATATGGAAAGAATGAAAGTAAAACAAAAAAGCAATGCTTTTAAAAGAAGGAGAAGAAGAAGAAGAAGAAGGAGAAGAAGAAGAAGAAGAAGAAGAAGAAGATTGTACCTCAGGAGTAAGAATGATAGAACGATTCAAGTATATTGCCCAGGACTTGAACAGATGAGCTCCAGCTCCACTGCAATTGGTCAAAAGCATAAATGTGTTACAAATGACTAATAGAGCTAATTGTGTCCACACTCCAGCCCAATCAAATAGAATCCAACTTCAAGAAAACTGGTGCATTAAAGATCTTGAATGAGTAGCATTCTCCTATGCCAAAGGGAGTAACTGAAATGGCAGGTTACTTGTTTAATTTGGTTGCAAATATTGGATCTTTGGCATTTTTACTTAAATTCTTGAGTTCTAACCTTCTAGGCCATTAGGCCAAGCAGCATCCAATAATCATGACTTATAGAAGAATTCATACTGTCAACATCAGGAGTGTAATGCAATTATGACTAAGCCACCATTCCACCTTTCACACATGATGTGGTATTTTTGTCTCAATCACATCTTCCCATAAACAAGCTCATTTTTGTATCTCATATAAGTGTACCTAAAATTGCTAAAGGGTATTACCTTGGGAAAACAAATATGTGGTTACGGCCTCCAGATAACCTGAAATATGGCATTTGACTTAATACTTGAAAGTAAAATGTGCCAAAGAAAAATTGAAAAATCAAAATCACATTTTACATCACTGATCAAAACAAACATAGACAGAAGTTCTTATAATTCAATAGATCTCCATTCACAACGAGAAGTTGTAATAATTCAAAAATCAACAGTACCAAACCAAAGTTTGCCTAGTCAGTAAATTACAGCCAGGTTCAAGATTCTGAGACATTACTACCTTCACGTAGGTTTGATTTATTTCTTTATCATTCAAGCCACCCATCATCCGGACACATTTAACATAACTTGGCACAAAGAACAAGTCTGCTTCCTCTTTCCTCCTAGTCCGAAATCTTGATTGCAAGAGCATCCTGTGTATCTTAACCTACTCAGTGTTATAAAAATAAATTAAAAATAGGAAAAAGAAAACAAAGAAGCACAGTCGTAATTCGAAATATCAAAAGCATATGAAGCAGGTAAGGAATAAAAATTGTAACCCAAAACAAAACTTACACAATCTTTAGCATTCTAATAGATATAATTTCCCCAATCCCCAATGTGGAAGAACTACGGGAAGAAACTTTGTGGTGGGGTAATGACTAATGATAACAAGAAATATCTAACATGGCCTCGACAATACTTTTCATTTTGTTTAGACTGAATTGGGAACACCAAGCTACAGATTTTAAGTACTTACACAGTTACACTTACAGTTGATGATCAAGGAAATGAGTGGCAACAGTGCATAAAGGCTCAGGCACTAAGAAAGAAAGCAAATAAGCTTGCTCATTTTAGATCAATTTTCTATATTACAACCATAAATAAATCATTAATCACATATGGGCCACTTTTAACAAGCTTACCAATTTAGCTGAAAGCTTAACGCATTGGCAAAAACCAAGATAATACCGACGAATTAAGAATTCTATATTGATTACCTTCCAAACTAAAGAAGCTGAATAAGAAGTTACCTGAGTGCCCCATTGGCCTTTTAGACAGGAATCAGGCGAAATCTTCCCTTCCCGGCCATACAATAGCAAATTGAGACCATCAATCTCGCGCTCATCGTAGACGTAGATTTTGAGGGAAAGGTGGGTCCCTAGCCGCGTTGGGGCCAGGTCATGGACCCCGTATCGGAGAAGCGTACGACGCCGTTGGCGGATCCATGGTCGTCAGTTGGGTAGTAAGTGGAAAAGGAGGAGCAGGGGTTGAGGGACTGATCGAAGAGACGAGTAAGGAAGAAGGTGAGAATGACAAAGGCTAGGGCGCCGATCTGGTGGGTGCGGGTGCAGGGCGTGGCGGCGGAGTGGTGGTGGGGCGCTGAGCCAAACAGCCTGCTGCTCTTGCTGCTCATCGTTGCGATGAGAATCCGATACGGTGAGAGCGAGCGCAACGGCAAGGCTGATGACGAAAGGATAAACGACGACGCATTTGCTATTCTTATTTTTTCGTGTGTTCGTTACAATATTTCCAAAAAATATGACTCATTTTATTTCATTAATATTGTCTATGGTCTTAAGACCAATTTGACAGAAAATGTAGCAATAAACCAACAATAGCAACAAAAAAAAAAGTAATTCCTCCGTCCATTTTATTTTTTTCTTTATTTGATTAACGAGGGATAACAGATGTTTTTTTTTAATTCAATTTTTTTTGTAATATTAAATTTAATATTAGTATATAAAATTTATATATTTAGAAAGTACATTAAAAATACTATTAAACACAAAAAATTAAATTTTAAAATAATTAAAAATTATTAAAAAAAATAAACAATGAATAAAAGAGTAGATTTGACCAATTAATAATAAACATGATAAGTAAAATGAGACAAAGGGAGTAATTCATCTGTAGTGATAATACAAACCGATTTTATTATTCTTCACGAATTATACAAATTGTTCCATTACAATAATGATAAAACATATTAGAGAAAATTTCAATTTTGGTCATATGATTATAGGGGCTTTGTTAATTTCAGCACCTGACTTTCAAAAGTGTCAATTTAGTACCTTGAGTATGTAATTTTTGTCAATTTTGATCACTCTGACCAAATTATCGGTCAAATTTTGCCAGAAAAAATACGATTTTACCAGAATTCAAAAGACGATTTTGTCCCTCAAATTATAGACTAAATGAAGGATTAAGTTTTTCCGGCGAAATTTGACCGGCAATTTAACCGGAGTGACCAAAATTAATAAAAATTGCATAGTCAAGGTACTAAATTGACACTTTTGAAAGTCGAGTGCTGAAATTAACAAAGCCCCTATAGTCATATGACTAAAATTGAAATTTCTTCAAACATATTAAAAGCTTAAAGTATACATTCACACGCTTAGCTGACCACCAAATAATTAAATTGATGAATGGCGATCGTATAAAAACACAAAGCACTAAAAGTATAATTAAGATGATTTTATTGTTCTTCAATCTCCAGGAATGAAACAAACTGTTATCAAGCAACACATTATAATAAATCTTGAAGTCTCTTAGTGCACAGCTTAAAGTACACATTCATACGATTAGCAGTCTCCTCTTCTCTTCCAGTCTTCCGAGTTCCGTCTGACCGTCTCTCCTCTTCTCTTCCGTGAGTTCCGTCTGCTCTCAGCCTCCGTGAGTTCCGTCTGCTCTCATCCTCCGTGAGTTCCCTGAGTTCCGATGCCACCACTAGCGCCACCACCCGACGACTCCGCTGCCAGGTTCAACTCCTTAATTCTCATCTGCTCAATGCCCATGTTCACTTAATTTTGCCCTCATTTGATTTTGCCTAATTTGTTAAATCATAATTTGCCCTAAATTCTAATTTGGTTTAATATATGTTTGCCCTAAATTAATCTGTTAATGATTAAGCAATAATGTTATAATGATTCTGTAATTATGTAAATACATGTAATATCCTTACTGCTTAATTTAAGACTTTGAACCAATCCATTTGATGGGGCTTCTCATCTAAATAATTTTGGGCATTTTGTTTTTGTTTTTGGCACTTCGAACTATTCCCAAGTGATTTAGTGACATTGTGTTGCCAATTTGGGTTTTGCCATTCAGAGGTTAGGGATTGAAAAACAAAACCAACCAAGCAGTATGGTTAGTTAAGATGGATGACTGATTTAAGCATATATTAATCTGTTAATTATTAAGCAATATGCTTAATGATTATGTTATTTCTGTAAATTAATGCTTAATGATTCTGTAAATATATGCTTAATCTGATTAAGCAATAAGCATTAAGCAGCCCCAATTCTGTAGATATATGCTAATGGATTTAGTTTTTGCAACGATATCAAAGTTATCAAACCCTAAGCAGTTCTGCAACGATATCAAAGTTTTTGCCCTAATGTGATTTAGTTTGTGATTTGCCCTAATGTAATTTATTTTCTGACCTGTAGACAATGGATTCAGCACAAAAGGAAGCGCGCAGGTTTAAGGACTTTGTGAATAAGAACGTCGAAGACTTGCAGCCTGAGTTCGACCGCATATTAGCTCGGAAGAAAGAGTTGTTTGATGAAGTAAAGACTAAAGGCATTAGATTGTCTGTGGCTGTCAACCTCTTCAAACAAGCCCAAGCATTGGTTCAGGAAATCTATGAAGTGCTCAACAAAGTATATATTTGAATTTTTAATTATAATCAATTTTGATTTTTTTGTTATAAGAGTTTTAAAATTTTAATATAATGTTCTGATTTTTTTTTTACAGATTTTGGAGGAGGATAATTTTCTCATAGATGTGAGTATGAGTGTATGACATCTAGAATTCATTATTATAGGGCTAAGAACGTATTTCATGTTTTTTTTTTTTTTTTTTCAGGAGTCTGACTCGGTTGTATCCAAAATCGTTTCCCATGGGTCTGGCAGCTTGGCGGGTTTATCCGAACTTGTTTCCGAGGGGTCTGACTCGGCCAATTTACCCAAAATCTTTTCCTCATCTTTGGCACTAACCCCCCGAACCCAATGCACAAAGGAGCTTATGGATTTGGGGGTACAATATAGAAGAAAGCTTGTTGATGTGGATGAGGTTTTGGGACTGATGTTCAACATGCGGGAGAACTTTGTAACTCATTGCTCAGAATTGGATGATGTGACAAAAAAGGTGGAGGAGGCAACTAAATTTCTTACCGAAGCTCAGGAAGCAATAAACAGCTATAAGTAAAATAGGGCCATCAATGACTTTAGATTTAGTATTCTTGATGAGTTCTTTACTGTCCCTGATCTCGGTTGAATCTCGGGACAATGGCACCTTCATTCTACTAATACATTGTTAGCAGTGGTTGAACTGTGGTAGCTACAGTGCTACACTATGACATAGACATACTATATCTGTGTAAAATGTGTACATCTGCTTCTCTGTAATAGATCATCATCACTACTGCACTTTTAGTATCAGATTCTCCCTAGCTAAATCTGGTAATTTGGGTGGCAATTTTCTTTCTTGATTTGCTTCTTTAGGTTTCATTTTCTTGTTTCTCCTCTTCTGCTGCAATTTACACCAGTCCCACCAGTCCATGATATAACTGCTGTCCTTGGAGTCCTAGGCCATTCCTGTGTCTACCTTTATAAATACAATAATGTTGGATTAACATTCTCTTTTGTCTCTATGTTCCATGACTTGGAGGAGGCACGAGAGGACACAAGAATGAGTCAATGAGTACTCGAGGGAGTACATTGTGAATAAAGTGCAATTGAAATATAGAGAAGTTTAGGGTCATATGTGTAATTATAAAAAAGTATGAGGGTAAAGTAAAATTATTAGAATGTTTGAGGTTTGAAGTGTAATTTAGGGAAGTTGGACAGAAAATTTAGGAAGTACCCTTTTTTCTTAGTTTCTGATTTCTGGACTGGAAATTGGAAAATTGAAATGGCGGAGGCAGAGGAAATAGTGAGGGTGTTGGAATCTTCTTTGTCCCAAATCAAATGGCGCCTCAAGCTTTCTTCTAAGCGTCGCCTTGAAACTGGTTCTTTCTTCATTGCTCTCTCTGCTTTGATTTATACTGTGGAAGTAGTAACTACTAGTGCTTATAATCGAATCTCATGTATATCTACGTTTCATTATTTTAATTGTGCTAGTGAAACTTCTGAGCATTCCAGTGTTCTTGATACTTCTGAAAAAATGAAGGATTCTTATTACGTTTGTATAGACTGTAGTCTAGAGAGAATACTTTATCCATCCATGGTGGGAACTTTGATTTTTCTGTGAGCTAAACATTGATGAATTCAAAAATATTGGCAGACGTTTTGGCACGTCTGAGATACTCGGATGTCGACGAATTCCCTTGCTGAAGCCCCTGGAATTGTGTCAGTAGATTGAGGGTGCGGGAACGCGACATCGAGCCCAAGGTTGTTCCGACCGACACCCAAACCGCCCTGGCAGTGTTGTGGCCGATTGCGAGGTATAGTACCTCCTCCGCCATGGACGAGTACAGCATGCTTAGAATGGACTGGTCCTGTTGGACCCAGTCAGCATGCAACGGATTCACCACCGGGGTTGCCGTCGGCGTGGTCGGGGAAGGCAGAAACTCCGGCGGACACACACTCGTTCCGTCGACAAAGCCATAGATTGGCCTCTCAAGAACGGGACCAGTTGCGCTCTTCAGAACAGGTAGTTCGTGGCAATCAACTTTAGTGACACATAGTGATGCGCCTGCTGCAACATACTGGCCGGACGCCGGGCGTCGGTCAGGTTGCCGGGCGTCGGTCAGGTTGCCGGACGCCGGACGTCGGTCAGGTTGCGCAACTGCTTGGTTCTCTCGTTCAAAGGAGTCGACGGGAGTGGGGTTGGGTGTGACTGTGGGTGGGTTGGCCATTGGATCGTATTTTAGGCTAATACCAAATAAGAAGGGAAAACTCAGGATTTCAATATGCACGCTGATAAAATATTACAAGGTTTATATAGTCGAGCTGACCACCACAATAGGTGGGGAAGCTTGACACAGCTAAAGACTCTACTTTATTATAACAAACTAATAACAAACTAGCTGACTCAATAGAGTGGGTGAAACATGACTCTAATATTAGAATGTTACATATTTAATTCATATCAACACCATTTTGGTATAGATTGAGTATGTCTAGTGTGATTTATATTTCTTGTCAATGATCTTGTGGTTTAGTGACACCAAGTTGTTTTCCATATGAGAGGTTGTTGATTCGAGCTTCAGTTGATGTGGTATTGATTCTTTGTACTTCAGTAGGTTGAGAATGTAGTTATGAACAAATACTGCATTATAACAAAATAAGTAGTACTTAGAAAAAGATTTTTTGTTTTGTTTTTGGGAGTACTATTGACCCTATGAGTTTGTGACATGTAGTATAGAGCTTTCTTAATAAATAAGAAATTAAAGTAACTTAGGCATCTAAGAATATCCATTTTAATATCCGGATTTTAAATTAGTGATTTGAGAGATAAACAGTTGTATGGAAACTGTTGGGACACTGCAAAACTATCTCAATTTGGTGTTACATCATCATGATTGCTACTAAACAACTTCTCCGGCCCACCCCAGACCTGCATGCATATATCTTCACACTTGATTAATGCTAATTTTTTCTAATGATTTTTTTTTCTTTTGTTATTAGTTAGAAATTATGATTAGATAGATTTTGATAATGCTAAGGATTAAGTAATATAAAGTTAGGTTATTTAAAATTTAAAGTGATTTATAATTTTTTATTTTTAGAATGACATGTAAATACCAACATCATATTTAAATTATCTCGTTAAATTAATCTAGCATATCAACTTAGGATCCACAAACATACAATCAATAGAGACGAATCAGAACATAAAAAGAGTTGATCAATCAACAAACCACCGCAACGATAAACATGCATAAATGTTGAGCTATAGACTCAAAATTGGTACACAAAATCTGTCAACAAACGTGATATGAAAATTTGGTAGATAATGACATTCAATAGAGGCTCCGATCCAAATCGAATTGATAATGGTAAAGCCAACAGAAGACTAAGCATAGACTCTACAACTATTTGTGGTAGACAAGGGTGATCATCAGACTTCTAGTTTATAAGTCGAACTATACAAAAAATATTTCAGAAGAGTTTCAAAGTCAAGACCAGCAATCCTTGATTAAACATCAATGGAGGCGACATGGCAATTCACCAACCATGCAAAGTTTGGAGTGAATTTTAAGGTAGCAACACTACACACACACACACACACACACACACACACACACACACACACACACATATATATATATATATATATATATATATATATCTGTGTGTGTGTGTGTGTATGTGTGTGTAGATCCTTTGAGCAAAAACGACTTGGTTGGGAACTCTTGATTTCTGCCACACCTCAGCACCTTCTTCTTTTGACCTCACTATTAGTGATATTAAAGAAATTGGTATGAGTTTATTCAACTTAATCTCTCCTTTGTTAAATAATTTATGAATAAGGTTGCCCACGCTTTAGTCAGATATGCCATTTCTTTGTCAAGGTGTATAAAATTATTCTCTTTCCCTTCGTTCATTGTTTACTAACACGTTGTATTCTGACTTGAATGAATTAATGTTCTCCCTTATTATTATTATTTTAAAAAAGTCTGTCAAAAAGAGAAGTAGCAAGTAATAAAGAGACTTTGTAATGGATCGAATTAATATAAAGATGCCCGTGTAATTGCGATTTTTAGTAAAAAAGTTAGGATTATTAGGAAATTAAGTGAGAAAGAAATGCAATCACTCTCTACTAAACATGCCATAAGTTGTACAATCATTTAAAACGAACAATTGCTTCTTTTTTTGAAAGTAAAATGAACAATTGCTTAAAATCTATTTAATCGCATTCTCTTTAACTTGCCCACGGCTAATGTTATATTATCATCTTTTAGGAGTAAAGTTTAATTCATTCTAAGCCATTTTTTGGACGCAGATCGAACTTTGATATAGCTTCAATGCGGGAGTTTCACCTTCTCGTGGGGTGGCTCTTTGTGAGCACTAAGCATTGATCCTCCCATCTAATGGATCGCTGAGTCACCGTGATTTATCTTTCTACATTCTTGTAAAGTGGAGGTGTACGTGGGGTACTTGGAGCGAGAGATTTCATTTGTTGTGGAAAAATGCTTAAAAATTAGTAGAAATATTGACTTATATACAAAGATTTGATTATACATAAATCTTTTACTCATCATCTTCTAATTAAATACATATGTATTAACTTGCGCTTTATATTAATAAATATTTAAAATAATGTGTCAAGTTCTTACATATAGTATTGCAAAAGACGTAATAGCGAATGTCGACAATTTACTTTTGTAAACATGTATCAAACAAGAAAATATCAAAAGATCCTGATCGGAGGGTTTTGTTTGTTTCAACTTTTAGATTGATTATTGAAGGAAGGTAATATATGTTTTCAGAGTAGATAATATAGATATGCAAATATCTTCCATTAAAGGTAATTATGGTTTGGTACGGTCCATTAACAATTGTCGTCACGGTAATGTTTTGATTGAACTACTTTACCTTTGTGTTACTAATCAAATTTCTAATGATTATGATAGATAACTAGCCTATGTGTAATTAGTCATTGTATATTTGTCATATACGGAGTAAATGATTGAGCAAATGCCACTTTTAATCTGTGAGTTTTTAATAACTTGAAGTGTAAATATTTTTGCCCATCAATTTTTTTTTTTTTTTTTGAAATAACATTTGTAATCCCTCACAGTTGATCAATTCTATTAACTCATGACAAAAAATTTCAAGCAAGGTTAATTTCATCATTTAATTACTATTCATTCTCCTACATACTCGACCTAGGCCATTTTCTGTTGAATCATCATATAATTCTGATTTATTTATTATTAAATAACATTATTGTTGAATTATTCTTGTGATGATTAGTCAAGATCCATTTTATAGGGATCCTACTTTCTAAGGTGTTCTAGTCTTCAAACACCTATATAAAGGGTTTAGAACAAGCTTTGTAGTGAGAACAAGTACAAGAGTGAACAAGAACTAGACATTGAGTAATCATCTGCAATATATAATTCATTCTGTTATTATCTTTCTGTCTCGCGTGACGCTTCTGTTGTCAGGGTTTTTACAACATTAATTTCTACACACCTCTGTTCTGTAACTTTATTCCTCAATTATTCTACATTTTCAACTCAAAGAGTAAGCTTTCAAATTTGCATTGTGGTAATATGGTAAAAGTACCATTATTGTCCAAGATGACCATTGAGGAATGTATATAGAGAAGAAGATGAATTGATACTTAAATGATCAAATTAATTAACCTTACAAAATAAAGATTAATTTTAAAATTTTATGTAAGGACATGTTATGTAGTTATGTATTGTTGCCTAATCATTGACATGTTATGCATGCATATAAATATGTATATCAACAAATGCAACAATATATATGTACCCTACTTAAAGATTGTATATCCATTATATTTTCTTGCATTAGCCACAGAGTACATCTTGTTGTATTCCTCAGACAATCTTAAAAACGTGTGGATGGATTAATAATGATTGTATATTAAAAGTTGAATTAAATAATTAACTTTCTCGGTTATCATTCTAAATGGGTAATCATAGGCAGTGGCAAATCCACTGTGAGGCAGTAAGGACAGCTATCCCCATTCCTCCACTTATCCCTAAATATAGTAGATGTGTGTGCATATGTATAGTACATGTTTAGATATATAAATAAAATATATAAATATAAATAAATAAAATGTGAGCTAAGATGGTAATTAAGTTATGTCTTTAACCTAAGAATGGTCAAGAGGTCAAACCCCATTGTTTCCCTACATTTTTAGCCTTCTTTTATATTAATAGTGAGCTGTATAATTTATATAGTGTTTTATATTCGAACCATTTTATCAAATTAATTACGTTTCATATTTTGTTATGAATATTTTTTTTCCATAAAGTTTTGATGTGTTTTGATTTTTCGCTTATATCTAACTATACTTATTGTTATGCTTCTAAGTGTTTAATTTTTATTTTTCGAACTCTCTCTTTTTTCTTTTTTCTCTTTTTCATCTTTTGTCCCTACTCGCAAAATTTTCTGGATCCGTCCTGTCCCTAGTCACAGGATAAAACAGGATGAATAACTATTCAAGATCCTCTTTTTTTTTCTTTTTTTTTTTTTTCTTAAGGTCAAACAAAGAGGAATTAAATATATAATAAAGACATTTATGCTTGATAACGCAACAACTAAATCATACTTACATCGTTCAACATCATAACATATATATATATCTCAACTTAAAACATTACATCGTCGTTCAACATCATACTTATAAACTATTAGAGCAGAGAATATATTAAAACATTATATGTAATTCAAGTAAATAAACACCACTCTATTGATTATACATAAGTTCACTCACACTGACACACATATTATTGCAAACAAGATAGTAGCCCATATATATAATATGATATGATATGATATGATGGCATTATTTAGCAATATTCAGCAAATAATTAGTAAATTATTAATTAGAAATGGTGGTGGTGCTTTCCGTCGTGCTCTTTTTCTTCCTTCTTGGCTTCTTTCTTCTCATGATGCTCATGGAATGCAAATCCACCTGCTCCCACTGCCACGGCTGCTGCAACCTCTTCCTCTATCTTGTGCCTCTGTCCATGCTCTGTGTCTTTCTTTGCTTCATGCTTCTCATGCTGCACTTTCACAATTATACATACATATATAATTAACATCACATCATATCGTATATACAATTAAATCAAATATTGATTAATTAAGGTCCCATAAGATTTTTAATTCAGTTGATTAGAAATAAGTGGGGTGTGTTTTAAAAAAAAAAAAAAAAAAAAAAAAATCTTTCTCCAAAGCACTGAGTTACCAAACACTCATATTGACATTTTGATTAAATCAAAACTTCAAAAATGACTGATGATCTGCCAAAATTTTGATTGTTCAGCAATTTACCAAATATGGCGCTTAAAATTAAAACACCATATATTTCCTCTTGATCTTATTCTTCAAGACATTAGGTACCTAGCTAGTGATCTCCTTCACATTAACTTTATGTTCGCTAAACGCTTCGCGAACAAGGTAGTCCACGTGTTAGCACGGGAAGCTTTGTTCTTAGCCGATCGTAAGGAGTGGAGGATTATGCCTCCTTCATCCCTTCTTTCTGTACTTGCTGCCGATTTTAATTAATGGAAGTTGTGTTTGTTCAAAAAAATTAAAATTAAAATTAAAACACCATATGCTTCATTTTTAATGAAGCATTAGATCTACCGATAGTTATTTATAATTAATTTTGTACATTAATAAAGTAGAAATGAATGACTGACCAAAGCATAGGCTCCGGCTGCAGCAACGCCGAGCTCGCCGATGTGCTCGAGGTGTTTGTGGTGTTTCTCTTCTTTCTTGTAGTCCACCGGGCCGTCTTCCTCCTTCTTGTGGTGGAAGAGGTGGTGGTGGTGTTTCTCCTCAGCCATGCTGGAACTAATCAAATGCTACCGGAGTATATATGAAGAAGGTGATTGTGATGATGGTGCATTTTAGATGGTTTTCTAGCCTACTATTTATAGGTGATCGGATGAATAATGGTGACAACTTCCCAAACTATTAGGTGTGAAAAGGACTACCATTTGTTTAGAGGCAACATAATTACATCACTATTATCATTTAATATCACTCATCCAACAATCAACTGTTCATTACATTATAATTATTTTAGTAGGTTTGAAAACGTGAATCCAGGAGCTTATCTTGTGATATGGATTAGATGTTTACTTTGGTCCCATTATTATAAATAAAAAACAACTCAAACTTAATTTATTAATTACGTTGAAATTTCATCCCTAGTCTAGAGATTACCCAACCCAAGTAAAACTGGCTAGTTACTACCTGACTCCTACATCATTATTATTATTGTCAAAAATTAATAATAAAGCCTATATTTACATTAAACATCAATTAATTAAAAAAAAAAACTACATAAATTAAATTTCAATTTGATTACAGATATTTTAATACAAAGTAGTTCCGTTCCAACTTCCAATTGCATCCTAAATGTAGGCAGTGATTTTAGTTAAATCTCAAAGTAAAAATATAATTATATTAGGAAAGAAAATATAGAAGGAACTAAAACATATTACATGAATAATCCTAAAACTGAATTAATTAAAAAAAAAAAAAAAAAAAAAAGACTAGTGCTTAGCTTCTGAGGGCAGACTCAATACGCTCAATCAATTGCTTAGCAGCTAATGCACCCTCCTGAAATAATTAACCAAGGGCAGGCCCAGGTTAGATTATGTTTAAGAGATTGAAAGAAAACAGATTTATGCTTAAAAGCATCAACAATTTTATTGGGTTTCTACTTCCTGCTGCATTGATCAGCAAGGTAAACAGCAATTTAGTCATCAAAGTGACCAAATATGAAAGTGATATAACAAACACAAAGTATAGCATGCATGAATGATAATAAGATCAGATGTGGTTACTTACAAAGCGATCACATGGTTTTCCATCCTTGAAGAGAATGAATGTTGGCAGTGCCTGTATTTGATACTTATCCGCAATGCTTGGATACTTCTCAGTGTCAATTTTGACCACTTGAATTTTATCCTTCATAGAATCACTTACTTCATTTAGAACAGGCACCATGAACTGGCAAGGACCACACCTGCAGATGTCAGATTAATGCAGAATGAAATTGGCTGTAGATATTCCATGCAATATACTTCTGGAATTCTATCATACTCTCAAGAAAGTAACAAACTAATACATAACCAACCAATGAAACGGTAGCATGCATAACCAACTTCAAAGTGAAGGTTTAACTGTTTAAGGTGCTTCGTAAAAAAAGGCATACAACACACACTAAAAGGTACGCTTTAAGTGCTAGTAAGCCCCTCTTTTCAAATCCCGACCACTCAGGTAGCATAGAAATGCTTCCCAGTCCTTCAAAGCCTGTTTTAATTCTTCTTAGGAATGAATAAGGGATCCTAAGGACTGACATGTTCATGACTTCAGTGTACATCAGCAAGAAATTTGCACAATAGTACCAAAGTAGTGTCAATAGTGCTTACCAGGTGGCATAGAAATCAACAAGAATTGGTTTATCATAATTTGCCAGCAAATCATCCAAGGAAGAAAATGATTGCTTCTTTGCTTCAACCTAATTGACAAATTTTCAAATTAATCAATAACAGCAATGTCTCAAAAAGTCATTTTTTAAACAAAATATGGCAGAGGAAGAGGGTAAAGCAGTTGAAGACTTGAGGGAAAAGAAACATATTGTTTTTAAGAAAAATCCTTACAGCAAAATATATTAAAATGTCTCCAGATAATTTTGGATGCCAGAAGAGAATTGATAAATGCATACATGTAAGCTACGGCATTTGTGCCTATGCTTTGGACTTCTTAATTAGTTTGCAAAAGTGAAAATACATTATAGTCCGTCCAACAACTAAAGACAATGGTTAATAGTACACGTTAAGAGGTTGTATTAACCATTATTTTCTTCACCAAGCAAACTTCCCCAATCATGTAATGATGTAAATATTTTTAAGTCATCATAGTTTGGGCTAAGTTACAACTTGGTCATCAATGTTTCCGAACAAAAAACAACAATTTAAGTTGTCTCCGTTTCAAACTCATTACCTCCCCAATTGCCAGTCACAATTCTAACAATTTCTGCCATTCAGAGCTCCAACTAAGGGTACTTTGGTCATATCAAAGATAAAATCCAAACTAGAACGTTCAAAACTGCCCCTCTCCCTATCAGTTGCAATGCCAATGTTGCCTAAGATTGCCAGGTTCAAAGCTGAACATTTGAACAGTGACGATTTTGCAACCAAGCAAAACAATAGTGACTATAATTGATGTTCTAAAATATTGATGACCACATTGTAACTTATAGCCTAATCTCTGACATCTTTACATTCCCGAATGCAACATCAATTATTCTTATCTTTAAGGTAGGATACTAGTTAAAGCTTAAATCTATTGATCACTAATTAGATGGATCTCTATAACTCACACCCTTCAAAGAGAGACTACTACTCCATAGTTGCTTAAAATCTATTATTGATAACAGGATACCTATAAAGTACATTTATCTCGTGTTATTTCTCGAAAACCACATCACCTTCCCCCCTAACATTTGTACCCTTTTTGGCCTCCTTATCATACTATAGACCTATAGGCTATAGTCCATCTCCCAGTGCCACAAATAGACAAATACTTGATGGCTTTCTCCAATAACTGGAAAGAATATAGTTCATCTTCCTCTCCTCTAAAAAGATACCGAGTATGTTCTTTCTACCGTGACTTATTTATCTAACCCTAAGCATTGACAGCCACAGAGCATAATGGACGGATTTATGGAAGTAAAGATAGTAACACTGCATTCCTTAAATTGAAATATAATACACACAAAATTCTTGGGATATTGAATGGTAGAAGCGGTAATCCTAATAATTTCAGTAATTTATCAAGCAAACTATACTAAAACTTCCACCAACTACTCGCCTTTCAACTTCACTTCACAACAATGAGCTCAGAAAGTACGCTGAAAGTTGAAGCGCAGCACTAAACATAACAGCCAGTAAAAATAAACCCAAATGCAAGGAATTTTCAAGAAAGAAATTGAAGTTTTAGGTAGGAATAACGTACCAGAGGAAAAGCTCTTCGCCGGGACTGAGATTTCGACCCGTGAATTTGCATTCGCAGAGAACGAAGCTCTCTGGGGAATTGCAAGGAAGACAAATGCGAAAGCATAGTTGAGGATGAAGGAGCAAAAGGCGACGCCGAGTACTGGTGCTTGGTAGTCAAAGAGCATACAGTGGCGGCCGCTATAGAAATCGCCATTTCTGCGGAGCGGAGAAGTGATGAGAATCGAGTGAAGTTGAAGGCAAGTTCTGATATGGCTTAGCAAATATGGAAATTTGGACAGGACAAGTCAAGACTCAAGGAGTTATTTGCCGTCGATGAGGTTGACTGGTTTGGAAATCTAGTGGATAAGAACCGCCAAATCTCCTGTGCACGCATTCACTGCAGATATTTTTACTTCAACTTTTTTCTTATACTAAATACTCCGTAATAATTATGCTTGCTTTCAAATAATAATAATAATAATAATTCTGCTACCTTCTTCAAATCATTTCTATAAATTTGTCTCAAAAAAACATAATAACTCTATATATGATATTATAAATTTGGTCGATTATAATAATTAATGAATATAAAAAATATATAGTATTTATTATAATTCAATAGGCTGGTTTGAGCCTTGGTTTGAACTAAATAGTTATGGACAACTCAGACTGATTTACCTTTTTGTGGTCCTTTGACAACTAGAGTTACAAGGTAGAATTTACCCAGTGTACATATTCGTGTAGTAATACAGGTTTCTCTCGTTACCCAATAAAAAAGTGACCAAAAATATTGTACTTCAAGCCAAACCGTTTACATACATTCTCAATATAATCACTTGTCCATTACACGATATGTAGCGTTTAGACAATATTGGAGTATCAAAACACATACGAGAAATGGCTCTATTTTCTTCTTTCCTGCGTGCATGGTGTGATGGACTATATATACTCAATTACAAGCCCCATATGAACACGAACTAATATCATTATTATTATGGATATAAAACGAATGCTATACTAAAAACACAGGCAAACAATAAATAAATTAATAAATAAAATATAAAAACCTACACAAAATGCTATGGTGTGTTCCTTGTACCTAAGACTTGCGATTCACAAGGCAGAGAGCATATCTTTCCGATCCGTATAAACAGCCACTGCAAAAAAGGCGGCCGATCATCATCGTCTTCCTCAGAAGTTGAAGTTGGCAGCGGTAGTTCTGGAGGCAAATGGCGGTGAAAGGCATCGACTGCACCTGTAACTCCGTCTTCGTTTTCTATGAATGTTGCTAGTTCCATTGCTTGGGATTTCACCTGGACGGACCAATTTCATTTCGAAACGAGACAATGTCAAGACACTGAGATGGACAAGAAATCGACTCAGCATAGAAAACCGCAAACGAAGTTACCTCTGGCTGTAGCATAAACTTTATGGCGTCGGAAAGGTTTTCAATGCTGAGCTGTGATATCGGAATTGGAGGTGGTCCTAGCCCTTTTTCATGAACTCTGTCCCCCCAGAAATATTGATCACCGAAGAATGGTACTATAGTCGTTGGGCACTGCATTTAGCGTTGGATAAATTCATTAATGGCATTCAAATTTTGTTTCTTTATTATTATTTAAAAGAAAAGAGAACATTACACCAGCTCGTAATCCCGTAGCTGTGGTTCCAGCACCACCATGATGAATCTGTTAGCAAGTAACAAGAATATTAAAACATTAAATTTCTGTCATCATAGAATCTATTCCCCGAATATACTCGACCGCACAGAAAAGAAAGAAAACAAAAGCATGACAATATGATAAGGCTGGGAAATTAAGGTGAAAAAGATGAACTCACCACAGCTGAGCATTGAGGAAAGAGCCAATCGTGAGGGCAATCCGAAATAAGGTAAACAGTTTCAGGAATACCGGGGCCTACACGACAAAAATATCACTTCTCAACTAAATAAGAGTGTACAGACGAGAACGCAAAAAGCTTTAAAAGAAAAGCACAGAGAGAACTTACAATTACCAAGACCTCCCCAACCACGGTCAATAATTCCTCTTTGTCCAGTACTTTTAAGTGCTTCCAAAATTATTTCTGTAGTTTTCTTGGAATCTCCAAGAGGCTTAAAACAATAAACAGTTATCAGCTTTGTGCAAACCATAGTTAACATCACACCCAACTAAGCCCAAACAAGATGAAGAAAAACGATGCAAATTGAACAAAAAAGTATATTTAGACCAGTAACTGAAACCTAAAGAATAAAAAACCACATACCATGCTTCCAAAACCTATATAAATAGGCTTTGGTCCACTTTGGATCCACTGAGCAAATGCATCAGGAGGCTGGTAATTTGATCCAAGGTTTAAAAAACAATAACCAACAACATCAACGAGAGGGCCCCAATCTGCACATTTTTCCATAAATTACATCATAATATCATATGGTCTGATTATGTTGTTAAATAGAATGGGGGAAAAAAAAGAAATGCAAACAATCGTCAATTAATGCCTAAAAGTAATAACTGTTCAGCACCTACAGGATCATGCATACCTCGTGGCTTTGGCACAACATGTGGGCTCCATATATAGCCAGTAGGTAGGTGAGATATTGATCCATGGTATGTACTGAAATACGCAATTGGAGGAAGATTCAGCTTCTTTTTCCGGAAGTCATTGATGTAACTTCTTATACCCCACCATATCAGCAAGTCCACTAGTATATAAGAAAGCTGGATTAAGCAGTGAAATGTTAGACAACAAATAGCAGAATTTATAGAACTCAAACATTTTTTTTTTAAACAAAAGACTGGAATTTTACCCAGTATCCAGCACTCTGAGGTACACGAGCCAATGGATGAGGAAATTCAGATGTTGGCCTGCCTATTAAAGAAACATGTAAGGCATCATCTTAAAAAGTTTTAAGTTCAAGGCAGAGAAAATAAATGAAATGACCCACATGATAAATAATTAAATGCTGAATACTATTAAGCCACAACTTGGTGTAGACATAAACTTTAAAATGGTTTGTTGGAAAATCCATGAAATTGGCTGGTAGGTCTTTTATATATGCAACACAGATCTAGAAATAAAGAAAGAAACAGAAAACTCACGTCCAGGGCATAGTGAAGAAGATGTGGATAGGTACTTCAAGAGCTTCAGCAACATGTGCGTGTCCTGTCAAATTATGACAAGAAAACATAATGAGCCAACATTTGCAGGCATTGAACTACAGAACAAAAACATGACTTTTTTAATGTATCTACGGCACAGCGTGAAAAGTCAAGAATATGGCATGAGGTCAAGATTGAACTCTTCACAGCCATGTAATATGCTCAAGAATGCTTATGAACGAAGAAAGTTCTGACAAGAGCTAATTAATAACAAAAAAAAAAAAACAAGTACATCTTTCTAAGGAGTAATGTAACTTAAGTATATTCATGTGAGAATTACAAACATTGGTTTATATTACCACTCACCTTCGGTGCTAAATCTTGTCACAAATCTGCCTAACAAGCACATTTAAATTAAATCATGTGCAAGAATTTCTAATGAAGTGTTAGAAGTGCTTCATCCATTTTAACCACCACCCTTCCTACTACATTATGTATCTCATGGAAGAACTTCTAATCCAAAATATTAACAGGAGATAGTGCAGTTTTTCATCTAGAACAACTTCCAATACATTCTAAAGAAATACTTAAAAGTAAAAGTTAACTCTTTTCAAAGAGTTTCTGGGAAGGATTCTGATACAAAGGACTTGTGCTAGAGAAGTACCCCTGCAGAAAAATGGTTACACTCAACTTATTAGGCATACTATCATTACTCAATCCATTACAAGAAAAAACCACTCACAGTTTCCCTGTATCAAAAGCCCTAGCACATCATAGATGTCAAATAGTGATTTATTAGTAAGTACACCAAAGATTCCAGAGCATAGCAGTGAATATTTAAAGATAAAAATCAACTAGAATCTAAAGAAGCTGAGCAACTAAAGTGAGCAAGAGTTAGTACCATATGCAGGAGGATTTGCAATAATTGCTTGAACCCTGAAAGGCTGTCCCGTTTCTATATCTGGTTCTGTACAAGCTGGAAGAAGTGACTGGATAATGGCCTTTAACTGTTTTCTTTGAACTGAAATCTCTCCAGGTGCTGATGGAACGAGACCTTTGTTCCTGGCCATATCTACAATTTCATTGAAGACCAGAATCAGTCGCAAGCAGAATGTATCTGTATTTCTGTATTTAGATTAAAACGAGCAAGGAACTTGAACTAATAGTTAAGTATAAGTAATAAAAAGAGAAGGTTGTAGGCAGTGGCCAAAAATTTTGGCGAGGGACTTTCCAGGTTGCACCTTTGTCTGTTTTAAAATTAAAATCTCAACTACAAAATACAATAGTTGCATTTTCATGATTTACAACAGAACTGACAAATAATAAATTGGGTAATTGAAATAAGGATCACAACCACTTTAGACACTAACTTAAACACAAACATAAAATAAAATACATGCATGTCAAGGAGCTCTTACATTCTGATAAAACCCGGGGGTCACCACCCAAAGGATAGAATTCTACGCCTGCTGATTTCACAAAATCGCGGAAGTTGATATGAGTTGCAAGCCTAACACGATGACCAAACTCCTGTTAACAAACATCAGAGGACGTAAATAAAAATGAAAGCAAGGAGTGCAGATGACCCAACATGGGACAAACAATCTTAAGAAATATAATAGACTATCATCAAATCATAGTAAAAGAGTACTCTCATTGTCTGTGAAAAACTGCCATACTCATTATTTTGGATATCAAAATATTGTAATGTAAAATAAATCAATAATAATAGTTACATCACCAAATACCTTTTAAATTGGAAGAAACAAATTATGCATTTAATATTTTTTTGGAAATCAGCAAGATTGAAAGAAATAAATCATGCATTTAAATGTTTTTGCCTAAATCCATGTGTTTTCCTACCTGACAGTTTTTCTGTGGATGGAGAGAAAAGAAAAAAAAAAAAAAAAAAAACATGCCTGAAGTTTCTTGGCCATAGCTAGGAATGGTTGAACATCTCCTCTTGTTCCCACTACAAGCATGGCAATTTGCAGTTTAGGAACTGACTTATTAAAGTCAGTGACAATACGATCAACATTTGGAAGTGAGTCTTCAACTGTTTGAAGCTCCAACAACTCAGAAGCTACAGGTGCATTTTTAGTTAGATCAACCTCCACTGTCCCATCATTCTGGATCCTTACTAACTCTACAATGAGCTTTTGCTGAAAAATGGAAAAGATGAGACAAATTAACTAAACACCAATTAAGTGATGGACCTAAACATCATTTCAAAGAGAGACATAGTGAGAGTGAGAAATTCTATGTTCCTAAGAAGATAATACAAAATGGATAACTATATTTCAGATGGAAGTATCACTATCAAACATCAAAAGGTACTTTGTTATAGGAGCGCACTCTGAGAGCTATCAAATGACTAGTGATTATTCAGCTGCATCAAAGTTTCAAATTTGCACATTTGGAAAGAATATTTGAACTGCTTTCAATTGCCTAATGACAGCACATTAGGAATGCAATTATACCTTATCATGCTCAGAAAGTCTATCCAATCTTAGATCATGCCTTGGTTTGTTCCTTTTCTCAAACATAGATCTTGAAAATTCAATTTCCTCTTCGTCAAGGATGAAACTTCTATTTCTGGACACAGGCGCTGTGACACAATGTCGCAAACCTTCAAGGGAAAAAGAAAACTCAAGATTACGACAGAAATCGTGAATGATGAAACCTTTTAGTAATAGAATGCAAAGACTAAGAGATCCTTTAAAATGCCAGCAGAGAGTTCTACTCCAATAAAACTCCAAGACCAAATAGTGAAGAGATGAGACAAAGAATAGATAGGGCATTCCTTTTAGAAACATTATTAAAGGAAAAAATTCCAGGCACCTGCATTTGTCTAGAGTAAGGTTACAATTTTTGTGGACAGCAGCAAAGCAAGTTTGCACTTAGGCTCTATTTCTAGCACTAGCATGGAAGCATAAAGTTAACAAAGAACTTCTTCTCCTTTGGATGAGCTTGAATTTTAGCCCCTGCCTCTTAAGTTGTCACTTACCACATACTACACATTGTAGTAGTTCATACTGGTTGGTCAACCAAAGAACTAACTGTTTTTCTAGTACTACCTTTTCCATGTATAAAATATAACAAAAATTGTACATTTCAAAATATCAAAACCCTTCTGTAATTTAGTTTACTGTTCAAGTTAATTATGTGATAATTCATAAGCTATCTACTACAACACTTTTACTTGCAATTCATCAATTACATCTTAGGAAATGTACTGTGTACATAATGAATCAGGTAATTAAAGATATCAAAAAGCATGGAAATTGAAGTTTTAGGACATTTTACATTTTAAAAAATAATAATAATTTGTGGAGGTGGAAGCAGAGACTTTTTTAGATAAATTTACAAATAAACAGTCCATCCACAAAAACCACTTTCAATGTAATCAAAACACTGAGTCATAGCAGTATTGACATTGAAATTTTAATTTTATGATGAAAAAATATATGATTATATTCTGTGATTTTTTCCATAAAATTAGTTTTGATAGTCAAACTGCAAAATATATTGATTTTACCAATCACTAAATTCCAAAATGTTTCAGATTCACAGGTATATATAAGTAAAACTCCCATCTAAAGCCTAATGTTTTTTTTTGTCAATATTTTATACATATATAAAGCAAGTCTCTGACTACTGTGAGAAGTTAGTAACCTTGAGTCTAACATACAACATAAAGCAATAAAGCATTGTGTGATAGTAGGTAGTTAACTTTGAGGTAAGAGCATTAGAGCATATAAGCATGTTTCGAGCTTGTTTCTAAGCTTTCAAAATTCAAATCATCATAATGGCATCAGGCAAACAAAAATATGCAAGGATTAAAGAAAACATGTGATGTGCAAACCTCCTCCGGCTTGAGGTGGTGTGCTCAAACTCAAATCTGGTGATGGGAAAATATTTATACTCGATGAAAATGGCAATGAATTTGCTCTATCATAATGTGCTTCAGGAGTGGAGGAGCATGCATCAGACTGCTCATCAGAAGACTTAGTGTCCAACGAACTTGTTTTATCATCAAATTCATCCCAAAAACTGTCGTCAAACTGTTCATCAGCAGATTTACTAACCCAATTTAGTGGACTTTGCTCATCCACCCCATTGATACATTTACCAAATAACTTATCTTCTTCATCTTGAACCAATATGTCAGCTACATGAATCTGACCGTTGATCTTCTTCACCTTATCGGTCTCAACACCATCTTCTTTTAAATTTATTGACATTCTACCGTTACTGTTACTATGCATAGTTAATCTAATGAACCATGGAACAATCAAAACTCACCACAGCAGAAACTCAAAAGTCAAAACCCTTTACTAACAACCTCCTAGCAGCCAAGCTGTGAAATTTAATCAAGAATTAAATCCAACCCAACCTGAAAACTCAGATGAACTAAAACTCCAAATCCCACCAAAAAACAACTCTGCACATGAATATATCTATATATATCAGAACAGAAACACAGAAAACTACCAGTAATTCGTGCTTAGACCGTTTGTTACAGCAAATTCTGAAACGCCAAAACGTGAAGAAAATTCGAAAAGACTCGAACTTTAGTACTTTACCCACCAATCAATCAGCAAAACACGCTAATAGACTGCTCCATCACCTCTGCAAACACAAACGAACCCAATCAGATTATCTAAAACACACTTCAAATACGGAAATCTTCACGAACTCCTAGAACGCAATAAATGCACTCCATACACACCAAATGCTAATCAGTGACACATTCAATAAATGCACTCAAGAAAAACTAATTTTTATACGAAAATACAACCCAAGTCCCAGAAGAGAACACTTGGCGTTTGTGTGTTTGTAAAAAGCCCTAAAAGAAAGACCTCGTTGGAGGGAAGCTTGGGAAGTTGGCGTGGCACATGAAGCTGCAGTATTTGTGGGGGAAGTGAGTCATAAATTCAGCAACCCATGAAAGTAGAATGAACAACATGATTGATTGATTCCGATGATATTTATTCAAAGAAAGCAGCGTCGTTAAGTTTCTTGACTACACAAGTGACAGCTCACAACAGTGGCAATTCTCTGATTTCTTTTTCCCCTTCATTTTTAACATTCTTTAAATAATAATAAAAAAAAGTACATAGAATTTTATATTACTCCGTATCATATATCATTAATCATTTTCGCAATTCTTTGTCCTCCGTACCTTTTGTATGACGAAAGAAATTCGTAATTACTATTTGATAGTGTGTAATAATAAATTTTATTTTTATATAATAGTTAACAAATTATATAAAAAAGACAAATCACAGTATAAATAAATTATGCAATGAGCTCAATCAAGTAAGTGTTGGTAAGAATTTGTAGTATGTATTTATTAATACATATTAATTAAATAAAATACATTACAAATTTTAATATAAAAATTGTGCTATAACTTGTGTGTTACCCTTCTCAAAATATAATATTACAATAACATAAATTGAGAAACTTAATTCAATAAAAAATATAATAGGCTAAGAAGTACGTATAAATTAAAGTTAAATTTTTTTTTTGGGAAGAGGGGGGAGATTATAGTACTTAATATTTGGGGCATCCAAATGAAGAATCAGAGTATCACAGTGACTCAATGACTCAACAAATATGGTAGTACACACAAAGAATAACACAACAACAAACTAAACATACTAAAATTGGAGGTGATAAAAAGTAAAAACACTTAAAACAATGTTGCAAGTCTTGAATGATTTTGTTTTCAAATTTTATCACAAACTAGCTTACCTACAAAAATAGGTTATATTATTATTTAAGATAATTTACATTTTTTGAAAATAGTGTAATAATAATTTTTTTTTCAAAAGGTTAAACCCCAACCCGATAGAGCATCTAAGATGTAAATCAATTGAGATAGACACTGTTACTGGTAAGACTCGATCCCGAGTCACTATTTTTAACTTTCACCTCTATAACCGAGGTGCCCATGCGGGGGTGTAATAATAATCATAGGGACACATGTTGCATGCTAATGGTACACAACTGCAAATCGAGAAAATAGTAAGTAGTACTATATATATTATAATATTATTATTTAAACTTTGACTGATGGAAAACGTAATGGCATGGATTTCGCATTTGTGTTGAACATCATCATGTGCTATTATTTATATAATAATAATAATTAAGATACATAATACGGAGTATTTTTATTTTTTTTAAAAGTATTTTGGTGATTACGGCAAACGGTTTAGTTGGCAGTTGGTACATGATGGAATTTATTTAATTTTGGATGAAAAGTGAAATTGAATTCGCATCTCACAAAATAATAACAAAAGGTGGGCAGTTGGTAATGAACATTCAATAAAAAGGTGGTGTTTGGCAAATTGCCAGTGGCCAAAAAATCAAATAATTTATTTTCCCTTCGTTGTATTCAAAGTTAGTGAAATTATGGTCTTTTTTCTCTTGGACTTGCTGGATTGGACCCCCCACCCACCAAAGTCCGTACTCCAACTAAAACTTTTTATTTATTATTAATTATTAATTAATTTCTTATCTTGAATTGTTGGATCCAACTTGAACGGTTTCCCCTTAGTGCAATAACGTGACTATGGAGATTGGATGGAAATTAATTGTTTGATTATAATAACAAGGAAGTCATTATATTAACAAGGAGGTCTTTATCGGAACGTTATGCTGTAGAATCGTGCACGATTCCATATTCATAATTTTTATACTGTAAATTTATAATTTTTATACTGTAAATTCATAAAATCTATACTTTAAATTCATAATTTTTAAACCGTAGATTCATAATTTATATACAGTAAATTCATAATTTATATACTGCAGATTCATAATATTTGTATTGTAGATTCATAATTTCTGTACTGTTGATTCATAATTTCTAAACTTTATAGTTATCAAATTATGAACATATAATTCTGTGATTTGTGAAAATTCAACAATTGGAAATATGAACATTGAAAATTATGAACATATAGCTGTATAATTATGAATCTATAGTATAAAAATTATGAATATGGAATCGTGCCCACCTTGCAAGGTGGGCACGTTTCCACAGCATAATTTGCCGTCTTTATCAACATGTACAAGTAAGGATTTTCATTATAAAAAAAATAAATAAAAAATTCCTTAAATATTTAATTTCTAATAATTTATTACGTATATATATACAGATCAAAAGGTGTATGTAAAATTGTAATCATGTTATATTGAAATCATGTAATTGTTAAGACTTAAGGGATTTGCTTGTAACATATAAATTTTGAATAAGTGAAACAAATATATTATTTTTGAAAAAAAAAAAAAAAAAAAAACGCAATATCTAGCATCTACTTCTTTAAAAAAAATGACAAATATAAAATATTTAAATATTAGAGTCAGCCATTTTGTTTATATGAGTATATATATACATATCACTAAGTATAAATTAAGTGAATTTGGCCTTGTCCATACGAGGCAGCTCAGTTGATACCTGTGGATCTAACTGGCATACTCCTTGATCAATGGTGGCATTCATGTCTTCTTTCATTTATTAAGATTTCAGCCATTTATTTGTGCGTACACGGTACACCATGACAACTAAATGCTTATTATTATCAGCACAATTGCACAAATACAATAACAAATATTTATGGCCATTGAAAAACTTGTTTTAATGGCTTATAGCTAGTCTGGAAATACAAATTTGATCAAGTGTAGACAAATATTTGTTTTGTCCCGATTTGATTGTTTGATTTACTTTCTGCATATTTTTTAATTATGATATAAAGAAAAATATCACATTTTCTTTTGACATTGGTCTTCTTTATTTGACTTTTTTTTTGCTGGATCTCACAATTTTCGCCTAATAAAAGATATATATATATATATATATATATATATATATATACATGATAGAAAATTTAATTAAGTTACTGTATTAGTTTAATAATCACAAAATTTTAAATTTGATTCTCATGTCTTCTTGGTTGGCGTTGTCATAGAACCTTCACTCCATTTAAGGGAGTTCTCCCCAAAATATTGATCTTTAATACTCCGTATTAAAAGTTTTAGAAAATTAGTTCACCAAATTTCTAGATAAATGTTCAAGGTTGACTTTTTAAGTGAGTTGTGAAGGAATTGAGAATAAAGAATGAATGAAAGAGAGCATTAAGGAAATTAATAAATCTATTTGCACAATATATACGTGTCCTGATTTTATTGCGAGAGGGAAATAAAAGAAATAAAAATTGTGATTTTTTTCTAAATTAATTAGAATATGTCATCTCAATATAGAATATAGGAAAAATGACACTTTTTCTCCCTAAGTTATATACTTATACCATTTTTTTCCCTCAATTATTCATGTAAGCACATTAGCCCCTCAATTATTCTAAAAGTGACGATTTTTCTCCCATGATATATTAAAATGACATTTCTACCCTTAAAGTAAACATTTTATTTATTTTTCTTCTCCAACAAATTATTGCTTATATGTAGGGATGACCACGGTTCGATTCGAACTGAACCGGACACTATAGTAATCGAATTAAAAATTTCCGGTTATGATTCAGATCTAGAACCCAATATTTGAATTTCAGTTTATTAAAATTATGAATCGAAAAAATTGGATCATGAACCGTGAATCGGCGCTTCCGGATTTGGTTCAAGATTTTGAACCTGCTTTATTTTAAAATTTTATTTTTTATTTTAAAATAGTCTAAATTCAATAATAAATGTATTTTTTTTTTCAGTTCAGAACATGAACCGGCTATTTTGGTTCGCAATTTTAATAAACTCTAAATATCGGGTTTCGATTCTAAATTGTAATCGAAATATTTCGGTTTGGTTTCTATAGTGTCTTGTTTAGTTTGAACCAAATTGTGGTCATAATTTGTTGGAGAAAAAAAATAAATGAAATATTTATTTTAAGGGTGAATATGTCCATTTAACATTTTAGGAAAAAAAAACAGCCACTTGAAGAATTCAGGGAGAAAAAGTGCTATAAGTATATAACTAAGGAAAAAAAAGTGTTATTTTCCCTAGAATAAGAGTAGAATAATACCCGGACTATGTGGTCTAATGGTACCCGGGTTGGACTTCCATTTGAAAGGTTGTAAGTTTGAGCCTTAGTGGAGGCGTTATTAGCTCTTTGTGTTTCAGTAGTACTTGAGAAAGTATATGAACAGATACTACAATCTAATAGAGCTAGTAGCATTCAAAAAAAAAAGTGGATATATAGTATTTTGGAATATTGTAAAAATGAAAACATGATAGATAAAAAGGGATGGAAATTTTAAAAATTTAAAACTCACGTGAAAAAAAAAATGAAGTACAAATATTAAAAAATAAAGCAATATTTATAAATATATTTTACTTAAATATACACAAGTAATTGTTATAATTGTTTGCATTTTCATAATTAAAAATAATAGTCAATTTAACTATTATGTAGTGTGATGACACTGCTGTTATACTATTCCAGATGAGTGGTTGCAGGATTGAATCCTTTTAGTGGGATATTATTAATTTTTTAGACTGAAAAAGACTTGAGAAAAAAATAAAAATAATAATATATAAGCGTATATACATTATTTAAAACATATACAGGGTCGAAAATGAATAAGAATCTCTTTTATATTGATCAAAAATTTTCAATCAAAATTTTGAAACACATTTCTTTATTAAAAAAAAAAAAATCAACCTTTAATTAATATGAAAGAAAAAGTAATTTAATGAATTTTCGATGTAAAAGTTTGTCTAAAAATATTCATCCTTAAAAATCTTGGTGTATCTTAGTTGACAAGAGCATAATGTTAAGAATGCAATTAATGAACCGATAATGTTTATAATATAATTTCTTCTCGACAACTGGTTCAAGCGCTCTCTCAAAAATGTGAATTAGCTCTCCCATATGGCTATATACAATCAGATATGTAATTTTTTTTTTTTTTTTTACTATTGACTCTATTATATATAATATATTGTATTACATACTTTCTTAATCAAAGCACAAAGAACTAAGATTCGAACCTGAGTCTCCCTCATTTGAAGGGTCACAGTTATGTCATTCCACCACAAAGCCTTTGACCAAATATGTATATTATATTAGGAAGAATTGAACTCACGATCATCGGATACAAAATTAATTATATACTCTATTTACTTGAACACTTCTTTTTAAAAATTTATTTTTTACTTTCACTTTTTTCACGTGAAAAATTATAATAAATGTAACAACTTTTTATTTTTGCGCCTTCAGTTCATTACACACACGACTTAATTATGTGTTAGCATTAACCACTTTGCAGGCCTCGATATTTTTCTATAATCTATAATAATATAACTTAAGTAATACTGCGTACTGTTTCAAAAAAATAATACTCCGTACGTATCATATTATGTTAACTAGTTATGTTGGATTGATCAATTATTAAGCCTATGCATGTTGATTGATAGTTGAGGATCATTATGTATTTTAATTTTTAATTAATTTATATATAATATTAGTCTTGTTTTAATTGCCTTGATAAAGTTTTTTTAAATGATATAATTTATTTTTATGATTCAAATTTTATGTTTACGTATTTAACAACATATGTAATCTATAAAAATAAAATAAGAATACAAAAGGAATTTTAAAAAAAAAAAAAGACAAAGAACAAATGTGGCATTATATTTTTTACACCATTTTGGCATTAATTAATTATAATATTTAAATTTATTTATTTTTAAATTAAAAAGGTCTGCAACTATCAAATTTACAAAGCTTGCATATTATATTTTGCCATCAATGCCAACAGCTAAATTTCAAAAATTAAAAAAAAAATAAAATTACACCACGTAAGATTAAAACTGCACCCTTTTTATGGGTGCAGAAAATAGTCAATTCAAAATCATACGGAGTAAATTTTTATGAAATTTCAACAACAAATATAATTTGAGGGAAACCCGTCACTATTTGAGATTGTATCAAGTAAATTTCAACTTATTACTTTAGTTTGTAAAGGACTACAAAGAGAAAAATTAACTTAAGTTATACCATATGGTGTAAAAAAATATGATTTTAATAAAAGATCAATTGTGTTGAGATAATATGGTGAATTACAAACTGATCCGATCCTATCGCAACATATATCATACAAAAGAAAAAAAAAATCAATATTATTAGCGATATCAAATATTTTATTTCTTATATAAACAAATTAAAAGAAAATTATATATTATATTATACATGTACATAATTTTTTTCTTAAAGATTGAAAGAATTAGATTTTGCAATTTGATTGATGAGCAAAGCCCGAAGGCGATTAATAGTGACAAGGCACAAGTAAACATGTTGTTGAAGTTCCTCCACTTGTTTTCCCAGCCCAACACTGTTCTTCTTCATCTCCCTCAATAATAATACTACTTTAACACAAAACTTTTTATCCAAACACAACTTTATGATTGCCTTGTTATGTTCGATCTCATCGTGTAGCCGCCGCACCAGTCTACTTATCGTGTCCAAATCTGTATTCACAATATAAGTCCCCTTGGCTGCAACATCAACTTGTTCCCCTACTTTCCTTAAAATAATCCCACGTTTCAGGAACCGCATGTTCCTCGTCACTTTCTTCAACGGTATGCTCAAAACCGCCACCGTGTGCGCCGCCAGAACCGTGGCCGCCTTGTTGAAATATCTGACAAATCTCATCTTCCTCGCCACTGTTTCCCTCTTGGATTTCAAGCGTCCCAACATGGTTGAATACTCGTCGCGGATTCGCGTAAAGCTTTGTTTCTCCCCATCGGAAAATGGGTTGTCGAGAATAACACTCACTGAAACGGCGCAGTCGTCATCGTCGATTTTGTCGAGGACTTGTTGGATGAACTTATAGTCAGATTGAACATGATTGAGGCTTCCCAGAAGGGCGCTGCAGAATTTAGATGCCTCCGCGCTGATTTCGAAGAATTTGGAGAGAAGGGGTTTAAGATCATGGTTCCCTGGAAATTTTGAGGAATCAAGAATGGCTGTTATAGTTTCTTGCCCAGGCTCCAGAAGGGTCTCAGCGAACGTGTGATTGGTATTTAAGGAAGACGATGGCTCTTTAACTAATTGTTGAGCTTTCAAGAAGAAATCAGAATAGGATTTTGTTCTGAACGCACAGAGATACTCCTCATTGACATTGGAGCTTCTACCCTCTCCAGTTTGGTTCTCATCTGCAACACAAATTAAATAAATCATTATTATATTACTCCATATATATTAACATGCTATATTTAGACATATATAGAAACTACTGTATATATATAGATCAAGAAACAAGAATATTATATTGTCGAACCTGTTTTGATTGTCTTTGAATCTCTGAACCGCGCCCACATCTTGGATTCTTAATTCTTGGAAAATTAAGGAATAGTTTATTGAAGTTTGAATTGACGGCGGATATATGTGGTGTTGTTGATAGGGATATATATATGCACCAACCACGATGGATGGGTTGCTTTCAATGAAAGGAATGTAATGATAGTGTGATGGCGACTGGCGATGGAGGAAAATGGAGTTTATTTCCTACAAAAATCATGCAGGGGTGTGTGTATATATAATGGCTAATGACTAATGAGGGCCTCAAATTTCCAAAGTTGGCAGCTAAAACGGTGATAAGCCCCCTTTTGAGTTTTGAAGCCGCAATATGTAAATGATAGTGTCTTACGTTATCCTCTGTAAATTTAGGATGACATCACTACTATACATTCATGGCTTATCATCTGACAAGGAGTTTAGGTCGTTATATTAGATATAAACTTGCCCAATATGTTTGACAATTAAGCCTAATGGACAGTAAATTAAAGCTAAAGACCCGCATACCAACTAAGTTGATCTATCAAACAATTAATTTAAGTTTGACCCATAGGAATAGTTGGAATGGTTTATTGGTATCGATCAATTAACCTTTTTAATTTGAGCTAATTAGTTATTGACAACTTAAAGGTGTTTACCTCACTTTGATCCTTTACCAACAAATTAAGGTCACCATGCATGCTTAACTCAAAGCACAAATATAGTTGCTTGATTTTGTTCCTATCAATTAAGTAGCTTAGTAATTCATTTATTTACCAATATATATATAGTGCGTGATTCTTTCGAGGTGGTGAATTGTTGTATGCTTTATAATAATTGTTAATTCGGGATAATAGTTTGTTAGTTAGTGAATTGATAATTTTTTTTTTCATGTTTCAAAATACAATTAATTTAATAACATGTTAACTAATTGATTACAATAAATTAGGAGAGGCTCATTGACTTGTTAGATAAGAGGGAGAGTTAGAAAAGGCAGGGAGCTTCAACTCTTTAATTTATCCACAATTTATCACTTAACTGATTTAAGAATCGACTGAGAAAATAATTTCAAATTTTTTGTTAGACCTAAAGAAGTTACAAATTAGTAGTTTTGAAAGATAGAACTGCAAAAGCTTTTCATACTTTTTAAAAAGAGAACATATTTGTCCATCACCTTATCAACTTAAGGCCGGTAATCATATGATTGTTACAAAACTACTTTAGAACTCCGTCAAAGATATCGAATTGAAAGCCTATTACTATTGGATGCCTCTATGGCAAAACCCCATATGCATAGTGAAACTTTAATTATATTAGCTTTGGTTATTATTATTTTTAACTTATATAAAAAATAATAATTATCATCAAGTCTCTAATTAGTGGCAAGTCTTGAGGTTAGGGTTTCTGATGGAATAATATAATGTTAAATATTCATATCATACTAAATTAATAATCGACTTTTTAACAATTGGTGTCAACAAGAATCAAATGTATAACCTTCAGATACAAAAATCATGTTTCACTCACTTGACCACTCATTTTGGGACATTTAACAATTACCATCCTTAGCTTATTTTTATACGCAGGGTGTTTTAGTTTTTTTTTTTTTTTTTTTTTTTTTTATAAATAATTTTTATTATTGCATTTCATAAAATTTTATTTACCTATAGTGTTAGTTAGGAAAGTTGAAGGAGGGCCAAAAAAGATATGTATGTAAAGCAAAGTTTGGTGCAACAAAATTCCAGTTTTCTGCATGCGCCATATTTGAATTTGTAGTCCATATATTCGTTATGGCTTTGATCTATACCCACCAGAAATTTTGGACACTTGCAAGTAACGTTGCATATACTGCATGCATAAATAAATAAATTAAATCATCATATATGAATAAACGGTATCCATCTTCCCTATAATTAATTCATGTACACGTCAAGAATTCATTGTGTCAAAACGCACACGTGGACTCCTATTACATCGACAACTACCCAGAAAAACATCATCGATCAAACCTTTTCTCCTTATCATCCACTAAATATACCTTGCATATACGTGGAAGCTTCAACCTCTGATGATCAATAATGAAGTTGATGTTTATCTCCTGCGGCCATGGACTTCATTGTTAGTTCTTTAATTTCCTTTTATCTTTCTTTCAGCTTCAATATACTTCTTTCATTTTCGCATTCTTAACTTTCAAGATTCATATATATATATAACATCGTATGTGTGTGTGTATATATATATCTATATATATATAGAGAGAGAGAGAGAAAGAGATGGCAAAAAGATATGTAAAGCAGTTGAACGACAGGCGACGGGAACGCAAAGGAATCATGCATGCATGTATATGCAGGCAGTTGATGATTCCAAAATTAGAAAACAAGAAACAAAAATCAGATGTATACATACGAGGAATCTAATGAGTACAGTAGTTATGTGTAGAATGGTATGACATGCCGAAAGTAGTGCAACTTTTATTTCAATTTAAGCTAATAAGTTTATTTTCAGAAATAAATGAAGAGTTATTGGTGTTGCAGTTAGCTTGCAAGTTGTAGGTAGCTTCTACTAGAGTAACATATATTATATGATATATATGACGATAATGATAATTTATCTGGAACATAAAGATGACAAAATTCACATCATCATACCATTAATTCAAAAAGTTTCCCTGAAATACATTCAGATAACATTTTTGTTTTGTTTTTTTTTTTTGTTAGTTTTATTATTATTATTATTATAACAAATAATATTTTCATTTCAAAAAAAATAACCAAACAGAATATATATATATATATATATATATATATATATATATATATAGCTAGTGTTTTGCATGCTTCTTAGCTTCTTGCAGTTACTAAATGATAGTTTAGTACATAAAATTGTAGACAACAAAACTCAGAACAAAACTTCATACTAATTCTGTGACAACATTAATTGATAGGCATCGTCTTATGATTTTTTATAAACTCCAAAGGTTGTACACTTATCAACCGGAATCATTAAGATATATGGATTTGCTTCAATATGGAACTTCCTTCCTGTCTTTTTTCTTTATTCTTCTTGTTTTTTTGTCTGTATTCTCTGCATTTTCATATAATATGGTTGTCGAGGCATATGTTGGCAGGGATGAATTAAAGCATTTGGAATTTCCCGTGAGAAATCTGACATTAGATTTGATTCATTCTCACGAAGTTATGGTGATATGCATTCAATTCAATTGGAATTGGAACTATATTACTATTTTTCAAAGTGGGCAAGGAAGAGACAAATGGAGTGGTGTATTAAATTTGCACGCGTATGGTACATTAAAAACAGGAAAACTGTAAGATTTAGAGAAAGGGATTTGAGATATTTGGTTGTCCATTCTCACCCATACCTTGAGTTGTTTGTTTGTGGCGATGGTTAAGTTTCGATTATATATCCTCATTCCTCTGTAGTGTTCCTCAAAGTACGGTGAGTATTTTGCTAGCAGGAAATGGATATTTCGATGCTCACCCCTGTCTTGTCTTCTAGCTGTTTGTCCTGGTATATACGTGTATTTATAATTCTCCTTTTTTTCTTCTTTTAATGCCCCATTATTTTAACAATTGACCCTTTTCAACATTTTTCGTCCTATTAACCTTTTTCTCACTTCTAAACAATGTTGTGATTTTTCTTTTTTTAAAGAAAACAACGATGTATTTGGAATATGTCAAGCGTTTTTTAGCGGTTTGTCCATATAGCCTGCGGCGGATAGGGATAGAGGCTTGCGACTTCCTGCCATAGTCGTGTTGGTCAGCCCCCTTGTAATTATTCCCATACTTTGACCTAACATTTTTTTTAGACAATAGTGTTATTTTCATTATTATTTTTTCCCTTTTTAAAGAGAAAAATATTATCTAATTGTTTTATAATATTTTTTTGAAAGAAAACAATCCATTAAATCAAGTTTGTAGACAGAACGTTATAAAGGAAAGAGGGAAGGCTAGGATGCCACTCCGAACAATCAAGCTAGAAATAGTTTGCCTAGCTATAACCTTTTTATGATCCGGATAAAAACACTTGAGTAAATTTGTTCAATAAGTTTTTAATGTCTCTAAAAATTAAATGGAATGAAGGCTCTCCTCTAATCAGTATAAAGCTTTGGACGACCTAAAGAGAGTCTATTTTCACAAGGATATTGAGAACATTTAGTTGTTTGATCCAGCTCAAAGCTTCTCTAATGATAGTAGCTTCAACTTCCTCGAGGGAAAACACACAATTCCATTGAATTCATTTGGTTGCAATAAAGTTCCCATTTTCATCCTGAGCACATTGACAAATCCTATTTTTCCATTATCTTTGTCAATAGCCACGTCAAGATTGAGTTTTAAAAAATCCTTCCTAGGGCTTCATCCATGGGGCATCCTTAATAGTGGTAGGATTTTGATGAGATTTTTCAGGTGTGATTAGGAAAGAGAAATATGTGAAAAGAAAAAATAAAAAACAAAATAAAAAATTGAAAAAACCCCAACCCCCTAAAATTCTGACAAAATCTCCTAAATAATAAAATAACCGTGTCCTTCTCTTTCCTCCAACACATCAATTTTTTTCTTAAAATTTGTACAAAATCCTCATATTGGAGATGGCCTATTTGTATAGTGTCAGCTTACTTCACATACTTTCAAACGTTTACATGTGAATGCATGGCAGCAAAACTTGGTGCAGTGTAAAAAAAAAAAAAATCATAAATTAAAGAACCGAGCAACGACTATTAAAATGTCAATAGGCAGAGAAAGAGAACAAAATAAAAAGAGGGACCCTCAACACCATTTGAGGAATTAACATAATAATAATAATAATGGCGCCACAAAGTTGCAATTGATAATCACACAACTAATGATTTATAAATAATAATCACTATCATCATCATCACACTTACCCACATCATTATTTCACCATCTCTTTATAAAAATACACAATCTTTTTCTTCTTTTCACAGAAAATTATTCACACTTTTACTGCTGTACATTTTCTGCTACTACTACTCCCATTGAAATTTCACCATGTTATCATCCACCAATCCATTAAACATTATTTTGTTTGTTGTCTTAAAATGCTGGTTTTCGTCGGAAACCAGACCTATGATTTTCATCAGAAATAATTGTTGTCAACTTGTGAAAATGACTATGGCCAAATTTTGACGGGAGTTATTTTCCTTCAAAATAGTCTTATTTTTTCAAGTCAATAGAAAACGATTTCGTTGACTTTATCTTTCAGGTACATCCAAACACTCAAACCAAAAAAATAATTTTTAAAAATTGAGGCCCGAACTCACAATCTCTCATATATACGAGTTTAACTTGTGATTTGATGTTATTGGACCGCAAGGTCCTTGGCTTAACCAACTTGATTTAATTTTTCTGTAATTAAAAATAAAAACACGAGGTCCGAAATGTCAAAGACACAGCGAGGCATTCAAACTTATCCCGTGAAAAGCCCAACACGCCTGACAATCTTTAAACCTCACCAACTTTCTTTTTTTCTCTTTCTCTGTGCAATACTGCACTGCAATGCTACACACTTTTCTGTGACCACTCTTTTTCTCTGCATTTTTACTTGGAATCCCACAAATGCAGACCTTTACTCTCACTTCATTTCTTCCTTATTAATCCAACACCCCAATCTCAGGTTTCCCTCTGAGCTTCCTTGCTTGCTTCTTCTTCTTTTTCCTCGTCCAACATAGCATCATTGCGGCTGCGCTGTCTCATGGGAGTTTCGACTTCGCCAATGTTGACCTCCTTCTTCTTCTACATCGTTTTTGCCACTTTGGTCTCTCAGCTTTCTGAGGCAGCTACTGTAGTGGTCGATGGAGTTTCAGAGTGGAAAAACCCAACTGTTCAAATCGGAGACAATATCAGTATGTTTCTGTTTCCAAGAATATATATATATATGGATAATTGTCCCAATGTGGGCTTTCTTGCATTTAATTTCACCTTCTGTTTTCGTTTGTTTTAATGTTCTTTCTCTCTTTTTTGACAGTTTTCCAGCACAAATATCAGTACAGTCTCTTCATTTTCCAGAACCAGAATGCTTTCAGTTCCTGCAACTTCACTCAGGCTACCCTTCTTACCAAATCTGACTCCAAAACTTACACAGTAATAAGTTCTTCTTCTTGTACTGCAAAAGCCTTTAAATTTTACTGTTAAAGTTCAAGATTACAGTAGTATTAGGCTTGCAATTCAATTTGTATATTGGGTTTCTTGAACATTGGCTGAAATTTTTTTTTTTTTTTTTCTGATTAATTTTCTTCTTGATTATGGAATATACAGTGGCAACCTTCGCGCCCTGGTTTCTTCTACTTCTCATTCAACAATGGGTCTAACAAGGCATGCTTAGAAGGCCAGAAGCTAGCAATTAAAGTAACTCCTTCACCGGCCAAAACTCCTTCCCCTTCCCCTGAGCTTCCACCGCGTTCTGGCGGTGGCAGTGTGTCGTCCTCTCCGGCGTATCCGTGGCCTTTCCGGCCGCATGAAACTGCTGCCCCTAGTCCAGCACCACTTGCTCTTCTTCCGGCGAATAGCCCCCTGGTCCCGGAGAAAGGCGGCGACCTCCCATTCATCAACAGTAACCCTGCGGTGCCTCTGCCCACCGGTGAAGTGGATTCTGCTACTATTCGCCCTTTGCCCACTTCCGGTCACCCTCAAAGACAGGTAACTACAAATTCGGGTCTTTCCCTTTTACTGTTTCCCATAATGTTTTGTACTTCAAGCAGTGGATTATTTTAGTTGGAGTTGAGGAGGTTGTGGCAGTAAACTTCAAAGCCATAATTTGCAACTTTAAGACCTTATTTAAACTTTTAAGAGGTTTGGTAGGATATTAACATGCACTGCAACTACCAAATTCGGGCAGTATAAAGGAATAGCTTATTAGGCCTTTTCTTCCATTAAATTCACAATTTATTTGGTGAGAGATAATGCCAGTACAATATTGCCTGTCTGGGACGCAAATGACCTGTTCAAAAATGCCACCATAATGCCATGTTTCAATGTACACTAATCCACTAGTGTTCACCATCATTGGGGTGCCAAAAAAATGATGGGTTGTTTACAAAATTCTTTCTTTTGGATGACGAGGGAAACCCGCAGCCACTATTCTTGTGATCTTAGTTCATAACTGACTAGCTCAAACCAAGAGGCCGATAGGCCTCTCCCATTGAGAGTTGAACTTGGAACCTTGTGGTTCTCAAGTTATAGATGCTTGACAACTTGGCTAGCGTTTACAAAATTCTTGAATCTGTAACACATTATGGCGGAACCACCACGAGAGACATTGAGAGCTGTGATGATGGTGTTGTTGATTGAAAACCGATTGTCGTCCTTTATTAACATTTGTGGGTGGGAATGCAGGTGGTGGGGTTTTTGACAGTTCAAAGAGCTTGGTTCAGTGCAATTTTCTTGATGCTGCTATGAAAAGGCAAAGCTGAAGGGAGAGGTTTTGATAGTGGAATCTGCTGGGGTTGTGTTGCACTATTATGTGTATGTAAAAAGAGAGATGTTAGTGGAGTTAGCATGAGGGGCAGGGAGGGAGCTGTAGTTTTGAATCTAAAGGAGCTTTAATGGTGATGATTATTTCCATGTAATATGCTGTCCTTGACCCTACTCTTTAATCATTAAAACTTTTCTTACTTTAATCTCTTTGTTTTTGTTATGCAATCATTTCCTCTTTTTTTTTTCTTCTTCAATTTGGTTCCTTTGATCTACACCTTTGCTTTCCTTTCTTCAGTCTGAATCTTTTGAATGGGATTTTGGGATCCTTAGATCCAATTTAATAATGAATTGGCCATCCTGACATAGTATATACTACACCTTATGTTTCCAGATTCATTAAAATTGCAGATGAATCTGACATAAATGTTTACTGGAATTTGCATGACAAAGTGCCCTTCACTGTAGTAAGATGAGAGAAAAGAAACAAACAAAAAAGAAATAAGAGAAAAAAGAAGACTCATCTGGATAACAAACTAACATTTTGTGTGTGAAAGGTTGTTCTAATCTTTCCTTTTGTCTTGCTGGTTTTTAGTTTTAGTGGCATGAATGGCAAAGACAACCAAAGATACGAGCATTGCCGAGCCCCCTGCAACAAGCGGAACAAATATGTTGGATTTCTTATGAGGCTCCTCTGTCTTTGCCTGCTCACCTTCTTGAGCTTCTGTCTTTTCTAATGCAGACTTTTCTTTTCCTTGAATGCCACTTTCTTTTTCGTGGTGAACTTGTTTTCCATTAACTTGATCAACGCTTTCCTGATCTTGATCTTTCTGCTGTGAAGAAGATTCAACATGATCACAAATTTGATTGCATTCAGGTTTTGGTGTTTCTTGATTTGTCTGTTTCATCTCTCCTGACATTTTGTCATCTCCTCGGGGAATTTCGTGAGTAGTTGTCTGTTCTTGAACTTGTTTGTCATCATCTGATGCCAAACTTGGCAAATCTGCATTGTGAGTCATTTTGTTATCTGCTACATCTCTCTCCTCTAATGCTTTCTTCACTGCTCCACTCTCCTGTTCTTGATTTTCCTCTGCACTTTCAATTCCATTTTCTTCTGCAATTTTCTGCTTAGGATCTCTACTGCTCTCTTCTTTAAATGTTACCCTCTTTGTAATCTTTTTAGATGTTGCTGGTAAAGTTTCAGGATCCTGTAAAACAAGCTCTGGCTCTACCATTTCCTCAATCCCTATCCCAACTATTCCCTTCACTTTCTTTGGCATTAAAATGCTCAGCATATATTCATCCTCATTAATATTTGCCCTAATGTTATCCAAAATCACTCCATCAGGGATTCTAAAGGCTTTTCTGAACTTCATTATTTCTATCCCTTTCTTGTACACTTTCCATCCCACCATTATCACCTCCTCAGTTGATTTCTCACCGCCTATCGTGATTACAGTCCCATCCTTATTGATGTCAATCTTTATCTGTTCTCTCATATAACCTGCAGCCAGTTTTTCATTATTTGCACAACAGAAACTAATCAGTTAAGCTGAAAACGAATTAAAAATAAATCTAATGATGAAGCTTGGTAAACTTGGAATGAAGAAGGAAAACCTCTAATCCGAGCAGTGAGGATGAACATAGTGTCAGTTTCTTTAGACTGAAAACGAGGACCTGTATGATCTTTTGCAAGCTGAAACTTAAGGTCATCCGCATCTCCTTTGAGACTGAGTTCCAATTTGAGATCCATTTTTCTCGACCTTGGAGCAAAACTTTGGTGGAATTTTGTGTTTAAAGAACAAAGAGGAACTTGAAGAGTTAACCATGTAATAAACCAATGAAGATTAGCAGCAGAATTGCCAAAAGTGGAGTAAAGCATATATGCCTTACTTCATTATACAGTTTGGGCATTTATATCATTTGCCTTCACTGCAAGTTTCTGTTGGATACTCGGATTTTATTCCACAGTAAAGCAGTAAGCTTTGATCCTTCAAGTGTGAACAGCAGTCAAAACATTTGTATTTAACGAGCAAATTGGGAAGTAATCTTCAAGTCTGATTAACAAAATGAATTTTCCTTGGTTCAATAACACAAATAGATTACTACTAAACATATTCATAACAAAGCTAACGGAAGCCAAAACAGGGTTTCTCAATCTAATACGCTCCAACTTCAGGGACAGGTATGAAAAGTGAGGCTTATACACCAGATTCTTATACATGGATTTTGTATTTTTGTAAGTGTATAGTTGTTCTTATTATACTACACACTTGTCATTCGAGAAAATAGTAATTCTCAACAGCCATGCAGTACCTGCGGTTTCGCGGTTTGGCCATAAATTGATAAGTTGATCCTAGCAAACACTTGGGACAAATGACTTGATGAAACAAATATCCCAAGTTGCTATCTTGCCATATCAGACCCATATGATAATAATGCAAAATTGCAGTGCTCTACCCCAGCAGCTTCTGGTGGAACATATAAAGCATGCCAAAATGCCAAAAACTTTTGAAAGTAAGTTAGAACAATAATTGGATTTGACAAGATATGGGTGCATTAATTATCATTGTACAGCTGGGAATGACTGCATTGCTAAAGACAACAGAAGAGGTGCAGTTTCTAGCCAGCCACTCCTTGTACCCATAGCTCACTATCTATCTATCTACCTATTTTACTCACCAAATAGTTGGTGACCAAACATGTGGCTCAGTAACTTATTAGTAGATGCAGTCATGAAAACTCTCTGGTCCACACTCCACATCTCAGTAGTTACTGTGTACTCTCTTTATTTCAGCTTTTTGCCTAACTTTTTTTGTCTTTGTTACCATACATATCCAAAAACAAATTAAATTTTTTAAGTATTAGGCTGTTAGCATTTGACAATATTAAGTTATACAGACCCACCTTAGAATACAAAGTTGGTAGCTTAAACACATGTAATAATGATGGCCTTTTGGGATTTAATTAGCCATTCAAAGTCAAACAGAGAAACAGGGTACTCTTACTTCCATCTTGACCTGGTCAAGAGTCAACACTGGCAACTTTTGATATACTTCCTATATCATTTGACCAAAATAAAAATAAATATAAAAATAAAAACTTTAATGTGCCATACTAACTTCTGCTACAAAGATCATCAACCTATCAGTATGTGTTTGGAAAAGAAGGAACACAACTCGAATAAATCTTGATTAAGGTAAATCTCGGCTCTACACCACCCAAAGAAACCAACAGACTTAAGGACGTAGGGCCTTTTCCTATAGTAGCCTCTCATATAATTTGCTCCAGCCTCGTGTTGGGTTTGTGGGGAGGGGGTGGGTTTAGGTTTCATAGCGATTAGTAGATGTGGTTGAAGTAAAGAATTCCATTAAATCACGAGCCCACTTTGTGCTGATTTCCACAAGTCTAGCAAAGGGCATTATAGTTCTAATAAGTGTAGTTGAGTTGAAGGTCCACTTCAGCTGTACATCTACTCAGAATGAGTCTCAAGTTCCACCCAAAGAAAGCTTTTGACAATTAAAGCACAACAACCAACAGATTTATGAAGGGAGGAGGACCTCTCATATCTCACTGATAGGGTAAAACGCAAGTTCATATTTTTATTTGGAGAGAAGATCCCCCCACCTTTGTGAAAGACCGGTTACCAACAATTACAGCTTGAAACTTCAAGCAATTTGTTTGTCATTATAAGAAGATTAGAGGGGGGGTATGGGACAAAGTTACAAATGCCATGGCTAAAGAATGGCATAGGTTTTATTCTACAGGATCTTTAGTGGTCAAATAATACAGCTAAATCAATACTATGGAAAAAAGAAATAGAAATTCCAGCAGGGATTGAAAGTGAAGGCACACAGTCAGGACTAAATCTGCAATATTCTACTACAAAGTCATTTATACTTGGAAAGTAGACAGATGGCATGAAAACGTGCAGGCTAACAAAAAAAATGGTAGACTTACTTGATAGACGTATAGTGTATTTCTTCCACAAGAATTTAATGCTCCATATGTGGTTACCACGTAAGAAATCCAGTCAACAAGAAAACAGGAGCTTGATCAGCCCTTGAACCAGCTCGTTTCAAATAAGCATTGAAGATCACATGTCACCGAGAACTGCTTAAGATTTTCCTGAGGATTACAACATATAAAATATAGAAAAGCAACTTCATCTTAGTTAATAATAATGGTGCTCAAATAAATATAAATATTCATAACAATGCATCATCAAAGAGGCAAAATATGCTGCACTGATTCTCAGAAAATTATTGTGCATAACAACAAAGGAAAAAGCTTATCAGATGCCCATATATATGACCAAAACAGAACTCTTATTTCATACAAAAAACAGATTTGAATGCAAAGGAGTATGGAAAATTTACAAGGTGCATCACAAACAATGACAGTTAAAGGTGCAAACTCAATAATTTGATTATACAATCAGAACACGAGGAATAACAACACCAAAGGATCAATAGATCCCAAACTGTTCTACTAATTTCTTTACAAAGACATGGTGATAAATACAAGGCTTTACCCTAGAAACCTTTATTTTGGCACATGACCATCTCATTCTACTTCTGGACTAGGGAGGGAGGAAAAAAGCAGGGGCAAAAATCATAGAACATAATAATGCTTGCACATAGTTGCCCTCACACAACTGACTATCAGAACCTGTGTCATTGATGATTTGCACGTTCAATGGAATCAAGACCGTGAGTCCTGCAGCGAACAATCCTATGAAACACTTCCCTCACTTGGCGCTCCAAAGGGTCCAAGCCAACCTTCAGTGAATCAAACACGAGCCCAAGCTCCTGCACTCTCTGCTTAAGTTCTCCCTCCTTTTCCCCGGACAAAGGGAACTGAACTGTATCGGTCAATTCATACAACTGCCTTGTGCACTTCTCAATCTCATGAATCTCCTTCAATAACCCACAAGCATTTTTGCGGTCCCTCTTCTTTGACTCATCAAGAATCCTCTCATGGAGGGAGAGGAGTGGACCAGCCCAAGCAAATTTAAACACATTGAAATGTGCCTGAAGGCCTCGGTCTTGACAGGGAATTGCAGCCACAAGAACCCACATAACAAAATACAGCACATAATTCATTGTAAAAACAGCTAAAGCTAACCCATTGGAGGCAATAATCTCATTGCTTTTGGGAGCAGCTAAATTGTTACCAATGGCTTGTAGCTGCCTAGCAGCAGACCAATTCCGAGAAACACTCCATGAGAGTGACCTAAAATGGCCCAAAGACTTGTTATCCCTCTGCATATTGTTCCGCCCAAATGAACGGTTTCTATGGGCAACAGTTGAATTAGACTCTTTCTCATCAAGCATCCCAATTGCCAAATCAATCAAGGCTTTCTTGGCCCGACGGAATTGGCCTTCTCCAAGACATCTATGATTCTGCAACGCACAAAGCACAATCTCCAACTGCTTCTGCCACTGTCTGATCTGCTCCAGTCCATCTCGAATGGCATTGCAGACATCCAAAGCCTTCACGCTCCTCTCAAAATATTCAGACACATATTTATCCAAAGGAGCTCTATTCAAGAGACCTTGGTAGTTAAAGAGAATGGCCTTGAATTCCTCTTGGCAACAGAGAAAACCATCAAGCAGCTTCCCAATCCAGGGAATAGAGAGCAAATCATTGGAATCCGCAGCCAACAAGCTGTTGAACCGCTCGGCCACGTGCGTCTGGAAAGCTTCGAGTTCGTGTTCTTGGCTGGTTCCCTCCTGGGCAGTCTCCATTGAGTGAACCTGATCACGGCGTATGGCCAGAAGGGAACGCCCCAAGTTCGTGAAGGATGCTGACGCCCCTTGGTAATCAGTAGCTGGCATTTCTCAAACCCAGATAAAGAAAATATCGAATTGGACAAATCCGAAGAAAGATCAACTGACAATATGCGGAAAAGTGAATGGAAAGACACAAACTTTTCGATCAAACCCTTACAGACCCAGACAGTCTACACAAGAGAGCTCATTCCGTCTGGCAAAACAACAAACACATAAAGTCCAAAGCAAGAACTCAATCCAACTATGGGTTTCAAGAATCCCAAAATGTCTAGTAAAAATTGGCACAAAAAACTAGAATTGATCAACAACAGGATGAAAACCAAGAAATTCAAGAACTCCCAAAAACTCAAACCCTCTCAACAAGACTTGAATAAAAAGCACACAACTTTTCCAGTGAACTAATAAGGGATTGAAGAGTGCATCATAAACCAGATAGAGCAGAGAAACAGAGAAGGATGGTTTGGAACCCTAAAGTGAGAATGGGGGCATTTATTCGGGCTGATTTGGACCGCGTATATTATGGTTTGTTGGGAAAGAGAAAGGCAAAGAAAAGATCACTGTGCAGTTTTTTGTCAATTAAAGTTAAATTTGAGCGCCATAATAACCAAAACTAATTTAACAGTAATTGGTAATCGTTCACACCAAGCTACAGCTGACACGCCCCGCACACGCAATACACTCGCATTTCCTTTGGATCTTTCAGCTCTAGATCCTAGCCCTTCACTTTACTCTTGGTTGTATCTGATGGTGGAAATATAAGCACTGTTTATGCATTTTGAGAATTCTCTTTCAAACTAAAAATCCTTTTCATTTAAATATGATAACTATGACCAGGACTATGTGGTCTAATGGTATCCGGGTTGGACTTTCATTTGGAAGATTATGAGTTCAAGTCTCAGTGGAGGCGTTATTGGTTCTTTGTGTTTCAGTAGGTTGAGAAAGTATATGAACAGATACTACAATGTAATAGAGCCAGTAACTTTCAAAAAAAAAAAATAAATAAATAAAGTATATGAACAGATACTACAATGTAATAGAGCCAGTAACTTTCAAAAAAAAAAAAAAAAATATGATAACTATGATTAAATATTTAGTTAAAGAAATGACATCATTATTTTATTTTTATCCTTATTAATTATTTTTTATTTTTATCCTTATTATTTTAAAGAAATGACATCATTTATTCTTTCCAATTAAAATTCTTTTCTCTTCTCCTTTATTCGCAACTTTCACCGCAATAATAATAATAATAATAATAATAATTATATTATTATTATTATTATTATTATTATTATTATTATTATTATTATTAGATGAAGGAGATTCGCAACAATATTGTTACTTCATTATGTGATTCTAAATCATGATTACGCTAATAATTTTAGTTCAAAATGTTAAAATTTTTTTGAAGACAAAATGTTAAATTTTAATATGTAAACAAACTAATTTAAATTTTATGAAGATGTCTTTTTCTGTCCTTTTACATTTATCAACTTATCAAAAATATAATTTTACCAAACACTTTCAAGTATAACAGCTAGCTTAAAGGCTCTTCAATTTTCAACTCCTAGCTTATAACTTTTTCGCTTTCAGCTACCTTTTTAGCTAGGTGTGCCAAACATAACCTAAGTGTAACGGATGGGATGCCCAAATATGAGTTTGAGATTGATAAGTTAATATATTTGATGGATTTGTAAAGGTGTAACGTTAATCACGTATTATGTGGTACTACTGGTAAGGTTGCTCGATTATGCATGGTGCAGGGGAGGTTGTTCATGTAAAGAAAGTTTATCGCTCATGCCGGTAGAGCGAATGAATGTTACTTTATATATTACAAGATGATAGTTTTCACGCGGTGCGGTTTGTTGTGACAATAAATAACGTGGTGTGGTGTGACGAGAAATATTCTTTTTTTTAAGGAAGACAGTAAATATTCATAATTCTTTACAATATAGTATATGTTATATGCTTTATGAACACCCATTTGAAATGATAACCGGAATGTCACGCACTACATGAGTTTGAATTTATAGTATATAAATTAATTGAAAACAAATGTAAGAAAATAAAACCAAGAAAATTATTAGTAAACCCCTTGACTATTCATACATAGGGAATTAACATTCAAAACAAAAATCACGTAAATTTAGAATTATTAAAGTATTTTGACCTGAATTGAAACAAAATTTAAAAACAATAATACAACTCACTCGGTTTGGGTTGTTGGATCGTTGTTCGTAAGTTAGGCCAGGAGACTGGGTCTACTGATCCAGGCGCCCAACATCTAACGACTTTTGGGACAAAAATGAAATCTATTAACAACTTTTAGGATCTCAAATACTATATTTTTGGATGTAACAATATAAGTACGTGGAAATATATAGTAATAATAATATTTCTTTTAGAGCAATGGGTTGCAGGAGATACAAATTGCACTATGAAGATACAAGTTAAATTGAAATAATGTTGATAAAAATTAAATTTGTGATAATTTAAATATAATAATCATGCTTCATTCATGTAATTATTCCTTTCAGAATATAATGCACTAAGTTTACAATATATATATGCATATGTTTGAGTATGCACGTAAGTTATATTATTAACAGATATATACGTTCTGATGTTTAGTGTAATTGATTCGTCGCTTGACTTAAAGGTCATGATTAAAGGCAACAGTGTGCGATTATGCGGTTTGCGATTTAAAAAAAAATGTACGGTTAATTAATTGACCCTATTATCATGCCCAATGAATTTTTATTTTTCAAAGTGAAATTTAAAAGAGTTCTTCCATGTGTTAGTTAAGGGTGTCCAAGACTTTTTAGAAGCTTCTCGTATACGAAATAAATAAAATAAAATATAAATGAAAAAAAAATTGCACGTATTAATTTATTAATTAGTTGATGGAACGGCCGGACATTGCCAGGTGAGATGGATCAGACAGCAAAACCAATACGAAGTAATAAATAAAATGAAATTAATTAAAATACTATTAATTAGGTTTATGATGTCGTGGAACCAATCTACAAATATCAAATCTCCTAAATAAAATACGTAATTGTCTGTGTATATACTCCTCACGTGTCAGAGGAGCCACGATCACTCGATCAGGATTAAGAGCAACCATATCCAAGAAAACTTGTTAATCTCCAATAATTAATATAATTATAATTATATTATACAATATTCTGTATATCAACTTAATTGACAGGACTTCAGCGCACAAACAACAACAACAACAATTATTATTATTATTATTATTATTATTATTATTATTATTATTATTCCAAAACTATATATTTATAAAGAAAATACTACCGGACTCCCACATTTTACTCTCAATTTTTACTATTTACCATGCCAGAAAGTAAAAGTGAGAGAGTATAATTTGAAAGTACATGTAGTAAAACTTTATTTATAATTTATTATCTATCAACCAATTATCAAAATGACTGTATGTGTTTATATTCTTCCAAAAAAGGCTGAACCCCAACCTTAAGGGCCCCCCACACCCCGGCCCGACAGAGCATTTGGGAGGATGTAAATCATGGTGTCTCAACTGAACATGAACCACAGATGCTAGACCGGTGTTCGTGCTCACTGCGCACATGGAGCCCCCTCACTTTGAGAGATTGCTCCCACACTGCCGCGGGTGAGACTCGATCCCTAGCCATTCTTCCAAAGTTTCACCTCTATGACCAGTTAAACTATACATATTGGAAAATAAATTTGACAATACTAATTAATAAGAATATCAACTATTATAAATAGAAAAAAGAAGTGATATTATCATAATATATATAAATATATAAGTACTCCACAAAAGAAAAAGTATAATTTTGTCCACACGAGTTTAGCTCATTAATTCAATACATAGTATTTTAAGCAAAAAAAAGTATACTCCGTAATTTTTTTTTTAGGGGTGGGTGATTCAGTTTATTTTGGTTTGATCGATTTTAAACAAAATGAAACCATTCAGTTTAACATTTCAGTTCGGTTCGGCTTTGATTTGAAAAAATTCAGTTTCAGTTTGAAATTGGTTTGGTTCGATTTAGGAACATTAATTCCCAACATTTCCTAATTTTTTTGCGCAAATAATTCATTAATTAATTATTTTTATTAATAATTTAGAATTAAAAATCCATTCTGCATCCATTGAGTTCAGTGATAATGAGATTATAACATTTATAAAAAATAAAAAATAAAAAATAAAAAAAACTTTGAAGAACCCAAATGGACCAAGATAAATTACTTTTATAATTTATTTATATAGTCTAGCAAACCTTTTTTTTTTTGTTCATATCCAAATCATCTAGCAAAATCATAAATAATTGAAATAGGAGGGAAAAAATGAATCACCCAAATAAATAGCACATGTGACATGACCATAACAATGAACAACATTGTTGCACTCCCATATGTAATATTTTCACATCAATGTCAAAAAATGGTCCTACATATTGACTTCATACATCAATTCTCAAGCTCAACAATAAAGTCACATTTCACATACATACGACAAAAGTTGAGTTCCAATTTTTATTGAATGCATTAGTTATGCCGAATGCATAAATTTAACTCAAGGGAAATGCTAATATGCATATGCAAGCATACAAACATAGGCGAGGGCATCATGTGAGGTTTGTTCGATTGCAAATTTGCAGGTGAGGCAAGAGTGTCGAAACAAGCGAGCGGTGTTTATCTGCGATTATATTAGGAATTAAGTAATTAAAGATTTGAATTTACTTTTATTATTATTATTATTATTATTATTATTATTATTATTATTATTATTATTATAAAAACCAAACGTTATTCGATTCAGTATACAAGAATATATTACTGTTTAGTTGTTCAATATATTATCAAATCGAATTGAATTGTCCTCTAATTATTTTTTAATTATTAAATATATAAATGTGTACCCACACCCGTATCATATAATATGTTTAATTATATAGACATAGAGAGCGGGGCCGGGGGAGAGATGTGCCAACTAGCAACAAGTTGGCATTTAGTGTGAAGATATTTGATATTACATTCATTACGGAGCACTTAAAAGGATACATACAAAACTTATCATATGGCTTCTATGATAATATATACAGTGCACAAGTTTTGTTATAAACATGCACATGGTTTATAGTACAAATGTATAGAGTAATATAAGTTTAATTTTTTTTTTTAAGTGCAGTGTCATTTTGATAATTTTATAATTTTGAAATGCACAAATTTTACACTACAAGTGCACAGTTTTTACACTACAAGTGCACAAATTCTCTTTTACATATGTATAAAAAGTACAGTATCATTTTTATAATTTTGAAGTGCACAATTTTTACACTACAAGTGCACAAATTCTCTTTTGCATATGCATAAATTTCACAATACAAGTTACACAAAGATATATTAAGCATGAAAAAACTGTTCTTCTTTTAGAGCCATTGATCTGGATAGATCAATGGTTCAAATTTATTTACATGTTTTACTTTGAGTTCCTCTTCTTACATGATATATATATATATATATATATATA